TGTTGGCTTATGTGATCTATTTCATTTACTTCGTTTCACTTGCATAACAACGAACACGGCAATATGATGTTGATAAGAGGGATTTCTTGGTTGAAAGACTTTTTCTGTATTTATGAAATTATATAATGTCGTTTTAGACATTGTACAAGTTCTTTTAAAGAAGATCATGCAAAATTAGTTTTAGAACTTTTTTTTGCTTTTCAAATTAAACTTCTGTTTAGATGGAATGGGCTATCCAACGGATTAAATATCTGTCAGGTGCAACAAATACGGGAGCTGCGCTTAAATTTGCTCTGGAACGAGGTTTTCAGGTATCGAAATCCTTTGAGAGTAGACTAAAGATTTCGAGATTTTGAGACCATCTTATAATAGTAATCAGTTACTTATTTATAATCACTGTATGAATTATAGAAGTAGTTCATTATAAGCTTTCGAGTACTTCCCGGAAGGTGTTGCAGTGATTAATTATTAAACAGATCATTCGGTCCCTAATGCTATAATCATTTTTGAGAATGCACGAGGAGGTAATATTCCAAAAGTAGCAGTAGTAGTAACCGATGGTCAGTCTCAGGACAGTGTTGCTGAAAGCGCACAACAATTGAGAGATGCGCATGTGATGGTGTATGCAGTTGGTGTTACGAATTTAGTTAACGTACATCAGTTACATCAGGTAATTATTGCTACATTATTAATAGTTAATGATTAGTTGTACCTCATTTTACCTACAATTTTAATTAATTTATTAATGAACGATAAATCGAACATGAAGATTTATTTTATTGGAGATTGCAGATAGCTGGAAATCCAGCAAGAGTGCTTACGGTTGAATCATTCGACGAGTTGAGCAAAACTCTTGCAGATTCACTTACTTGGGATATGTGTAAAACTGAATTTAGTACGTTTTCTAATTTGCTTTAAAACCTTTAATCTGCTTTGAAATAAGTTTTACTTTGTGGCCTTGTAATTCATTGATTAATCCTCAAGTTCATTTTTATATTTTCATACCTTGAGCATTGCACTTCTTTCAAGTTAGTGCAGCTAACAGTAATCTGTAGAAGTATTCATCATGTCTTAAGAAAGCTTACCTGTAATGCTAATCGTTGTGTGTCTGCCAGTAGTTACAATATGGATAACATAACTGATATAATCAATATATTTGAAAATGTGTATCTTTTTTGAAAAATGTGAAAGTGTGTATTTGCGCGTTATCTATGATATCTCTATGAGAACTAACGCATTAGTCTAATTAGCACATTACCACCATAAATAGGACCGGGCACACCTGATATAATCTGTGGTCCGGATCGGATTGGTGTGCGAGCATCAACAAAGAATCCATTTGACGGGTACGTCTTTATTATGGATCATTTTCATAAAAAAGAATGCCGGGCGGGTCCCGAAGAATTTCCAGATGCTCGAAGTATCGGTATTACTATACCGTTCACCGAATGCAACATACATCGATATCGCTCAGTAAGGAAATTTTTTCCATAATCTTCTGATAACACAAAACTTAATCATTATTTTATATGCTTCTTTAAGAAATTTTAAAAAAAAAATTTTTTTTTCTGGGCGAGAATATTTCTTGACTTTCTAATTTTTGTGCGTTTCATTCGTTTCATACCATTTAATTATGTTTTCTAGAATTCTCCATTCTTCCTGATCTTTTTTTTTATTAGCTTTATATTGTTTATTTATATTTTTAGTTGAGCCCACGAGGTATCTTCGTTGAAATGACAGTTGTCTTCATGTTTCATGCGCTGTAAGTAACTACAATAATTACCCCATTCTGTAATGGAAGTAACTCAATAAAAAGAACTTGTCGAGTTGCTAACAGTATCTTAAACTCGTAACTTGTATTTCAAATTAAAAAAAGACCATATTGTAGATTTATGACAAAAGTTGATCAAATGGTGAAAGTGCAGTGTTTTTATATGGAAGCTGATAAGTCCGTATCAGTACCAATGGAAGTTAGGTATGTGCCTCATATTGCTAATGTTAAAATGTTGTTATAGCATATGCAGCGTTGCGTTATCAATCACCCCGGCAAATTGAACTGTGTAGATAGAGTACGTGACACGGTAGTGTCTTCTATATGTTTATAATAGAAATAAAGTTCTTTTGGAATAGAGGTGAATATATAGTATCATGTAATGTAGTCGCATTATAGGTTTCTTGACAATATAGACAACTGCGCATTGCTCTTCTTGATATGGCACAAATGTGAAAGAAAATAAGCTTACAGTTTTGAACGTATTTTGGCAATATTTAGCATGATCACAACACAGTTTCGTGAAAAGATGTACGAGATGCCCCGTTGTCAATACACCCTAAGGCGTGGGTCACAGGACGGACCTGTTGTAGAGTATGCACAACTTGGTGAAAATGTCTACCACCGTTGGGAATGCCAAGATCAGACTGATACATTTGGAATGCTTGTGCATTCATGCTACGTTGATAACGGTTTTGGCGATCGAGTAGATATTCTGGATAATAAAGGGTATGTTAATTTCTTCTTTACCAGCATTCGAGACGATTTCAATTGAATGGATAAACCAGTCAATATGTTAATAAAGAAATATGAGATGAGTAGGTAAGCAGATAAAAATAAAATTACAGTAAGAGAAAGTAAATGAAATAATAAGTGAGACAAGTAACTGATAAATGTGTTAATCATTTATCAAGATATTATCCTTTTTTTTAAGTTTCAGTTAAACATAACTGAAATTTTGTTATAGATGTGGAGTGGATGCTGTTTTACTGATGACCCCAGAATATGATGAAACATTGAGACTAGCAACGAAGCCGTACCATGTTTTCAAATATGCCGATAGACCTGTATTACAATTTCAGTGTCAGGCATGTCATCAAAAGATTGAAATACTGAGAAAAGCCTTTACTTAATTATTATCCAATTATGAAAATGTAACCAATTTAAAGGCTGGAACATTCTTTTGCAACTTTAATGTCTGGATATCTAAAGTCGAAAAGAGCTTTTTTTTAATTTCAGATAACCTTGTGCCTTAAATTGGATGCAGGCTGTATCGGACTGACACCGCCAAATTGTCCGAAACTGGAACACAATCATGTACACAATCATGGTCATGCACATGGGCAAAATGAAATACGCCGTGCTCGGTCAGTCTTGGAATTTAATACCCTGGATGTATTTACGCCACAGTTACATATTGTTGAAAATTTACCACAGTGTTCTAACCCTACCATTCAATTTCCTTCATTCTATGTTGTAATAACTGTTACCAGTATCATACTAAATATCCTCTTGTCTACTCTTATATCAGTACCATTTCTGAAATCTAGGAAGAATGGTAACGTATGAGGAAAACATAAAATGAGGCAGTCAGTCAGATCAAGAGTCATTTTATCTACTTGTAAAGATTTCCAATTCCTCCAAAACTCTTCCACAAGTTAAATTGCAAGTTAAAAGAAGATGTCCATCCAATGATGAAATATTTTTTCTTTCTTCTTGTGTTTCTCCCTCTCCCTCCCTCTCCCTCTCTCTCTCTCTCTTCCCCAAAACGATCACATTACAAAGCCCTGATGGTTTGGTCAGTCATCTTCATCAGTGATGGCGTATGCAGAAGTGAGACGGGTGTCTAATTTTATTCTTGTCCTATCTTCTCTTCTTGTATCTATGTGTGACATATGTGGCTGTCCGTTATGTCTTATACATATATATATACATGACACTGTAATAAGATGATATTTATATTATTTTTCTAAATGAACGACAAAAAAGGAAAACAAGCAAATTTCCATTTAAAGCTTTATTCCCAACGTTCATTTCTACACCAGTTGTTAGCTTTCGTTTCAGTATTTCATAAGCATTGATTGTTCATTATAACATGACTAATAAATTAATCTTGCTCTTTTGTTATATTTCTCGCACAAAGGTAAGTTATGTTACGTACTGGTACAAAATGCCAACTTCACACTTGAATTCGGGAAAGTTAATTACGTCACTGGCCTTACCTTCCTTTGCCAATAACCAGTTCTTTCATCCAATTAGAGAAAGAAGAATTAGGTAAGAATTTATTTCCCATCCAACCTTCGCATTAACCTATCATTACAAAACGCATTTTGATAACCAAAAAAAATTTCGAGATTTATTCAGAATCTAAGTGTTTTGAGCTTATTTGAAATGCATTAAAACGCGAAGTGTTGTATTTGAGTTGATAAAACAGTGAAGTATATACAACTTGAAATTTAGAAAAGTAATAATTTATTAATAACAAGCATTTATTTGACATCTACAATAGATATACAAAATGCTAATGCTATCCTAATAAAGCCGATGAAAAAAAATCACAGAAATTAAACAGAGTCGAATGTGTCTTACTCATTCCATATATACAATGAAGAGGAAAGTTTAGATTTGAATTAACATGTATCAAGTACTTCATAGCACATATAAATATATTAACTTTGCTTGATACAAAACATATATATTTGAAACGTTTGCAACGAATAACATTTTAACCCAATTTTATGATTATGATCACGAGTTAAACAGGCCAAGATTCAACTGTGAAACACAAAGTGAGAATAAAGATAGTATTAACTTCAAAACATATTTAGCAAAAGGGAAAATATGAACGGATTCTCTGTAAGAAGTAAAGTCTAAAATGCCAAATATCGTATTTTGGATTTTAAGGCGTAAATTCTTAATAAATGAAAGCGAAACTTTCGAATCCAAGAAAATTTCGTTATGGGATTGACGGTGTGACTAATTTACAACTATAATCCACATCAAAAATAAAATAACTCAAGGAATCACATTCCGCCTTTTCAAATCCGCCTTTGCATCTTCAATTTCTTTTTTCAGTTCCTCTCGGGCCTGATGACAATCGTTGAATGTTGCAACACCGTACAGTACATTACACATGGCATAAATCCCAAGTAAAAAAATGGCGTAAATTGGAAGATAAAGGATAAATTCATAATATTTCCTCGTAAAATTATGGGTGTATGGTAACCAGTCATACAGTAAAGCAACCCAAATAGCAATTAGTGGAGTGACATGCAAAGAATAGACAACAAGTTGCGATACCATAACCTAAATATTAAAAACTTAGTAAGGGTTAAGATAAATCCAGGGTCCAAACTTGTTGAGATCCAAACTTTAGCGTACCTTATGTAACCAATAAAACTACATGTCAAGATACAGCTATCATATTTTTTAACAATGCGTGGTATAGATGCAAGCTAAATTATATTGCCTCAACTTCATCTTTGTTCCTACAGAACACAAACTTTTTGGTAACTTTACTTGTACTAAACCAACTTGCCTTCCATCTAATTATCAAAATCTGAAAGAAAATTTAGATCCAGTCTTACCTTCAATAAACTTCAGCAACGAAATTTGCAAATTGTAAATTGTGAAGGAAAATGTTTCATCCAGTTCGCAATATTCCCACAAAGCTGAAACAAATAACAGACTCAAGTTCCACCAAGCAAAAGAGATCTAGCTTCAAAGTATTAGTCAAACTAATTCGCTTGCTTTAGTGCCTTCCAGTTCTCAGTTAAATTTCAAAAACTTCACCGACATGTTTCTGTCTCATAACTTAGCTATTTATAGTATATTGAATGGTAAAACACGAAAAGGGTTCGGGGATTTATGTGTAATGCTCAGCTAAATTATTAACCCCAGAACTTTAACGAAATGAACTCCTCATGTCATCTTTGAACTGATGGAAAAAATTAAAAAAAAAACTTTAAGGTGTTGGTAAAAGAATAGTTGTATTCGAAAAATAGTTGACGAGAATCGCAAAATTTTAACCTTATTTTATGAATCATATTTTATTTAGCAAGCAATAATCAAGACAAACACAGATGATCATTTTATCAATTATTGTCTTTAGTAAGACAGAAGACCTCAGTAATATGTTCTTAAAAGCACACTGACTGATTAATTTACATACAAATGAACAATAGTGCCACTTCCTTCTTCCAACAAAATAAAATTTCAAATATCGAATTTACACAATTTTATAAAAATCACAGTAATCGAAAATACCTAAGATGCACAATACCTGCCAACATGACGAATTCAAAGACAAAAATAAGTATTTATCATTCGCACTAATATAATCAAACCAAGGAAAACTGGACAACTTTTGATTTCTCGCATTCTCAACATATAAATTAATCACCATTCCAATAAAAATTTAATATTTCCTGCTGTATCATATTTATTATGTATCACATTTATTATGATTTCTCAAGAGAAGTTCCAAATCAATTTAAGATGAAAGGACATAATTTAATTCTAATTTAATCGTAATCCTAATTCTAATTCGTTATAAAAGGATATAAGACCGGCGGATGACAGCTAATGTTTTTACTTGTTGAAAAAGTACATCCATAAAAAATTAAAGAAATACGAACTAAGATAAATTAGGAAATTTTTAAATTTCAAAGCTTAGGTATGTTAAAGTCAATACATACAAGAAAATACGAGACATAGGCACACTTACAATCTATGAACAGGTTCTAAAATCCATTCTCAAATTAGAATACTAGCAAATGCACCAGATTCAGAAAAAATTCCTCTTCAATATCTACTTTCAAAATTTATGCACAAATTAAAGAAAATATACGGAAAAAAAAATATAAGTCAGGTCGCCCAACCATAGCCACTTTGCTTCCTTCAACTTTCTTCCTTGCCGTAAGTTCGTATGATTTTATGGGAAGGTTTGACTTATAAAATCCATGAAAATCATAATAAATCTGCTCGAAACTGCAATTTATGAAAAGAAGAATGATACGTAATTAGATATGAACCAATAACTAAAATTCTTCAAATTACATAAAGAATAAGACGGTATCCACTAATAAATCTCGTACTTTAGAAAATTTGATATTTATTAAAACAGCGTACTGTTTAAAACAAGAAATAAAGATTCTTGGTTAGAAAATACAATTGATGACAAAGACAAATATTTAGCAAACACTTGTACTGTAAATAGAGCCTTGTGTTTCGAAATTGGAAGTCATCCAAAAATATGTGCAAATTGGATTAAAACATGCTCGGTGGAGGTGTGTACTTCGAGCATTCCCTAAAAATATATATCCGTCATTTTCGTTTGCTTTATCGTTTTCTTAATTACCAAACACTCAATTTAAGATCAACATATTAATAACTTGAAATGAGCAGACTTAGAATAAAAAGGAATGCTTAGAACTTCCTCCATCCGGCCGTCTTATCTTGCCTTAAAAACTTATACTACCTGAACTTTCTTTGGTTAGCAATAATCATCCAGCAGTTAATTTAGGAAAGAGCTATTAAAAGTAAAAAAGAAGTCTATATTATGAAAATGATTTAGCAACAACTCTTTTCCATGCATTAACAAAATATCGCAGAGAAGAATGATACACAATTAGACACTTTTTAAATATGAACTAACCATTCGGTGATATTTCTCAAGACAACATTGGCTAAACTGCGCATTTTATCCGAAGACCGTTCGTCACTGACGACTTGTTGCAGCAAAGGGATGCCACCCTCGTGTAGAACATAGGCACAATATTTATCTTCTATAAAAACATCCAGGTTTTGTACATAATAAAAAAATATAGAGTTAAGAGAGCATTCAAGTATATTTATGACTCAGTAGAATGATAGTAAGAATAGAATGTCGACAAATAATTACGGGCTTTTTAAATGGAATTTGAACTTAACCTCTTTTTCAGCCATAAAGACTTCTTTGTTATGTAAAACCTTAACTGTGTGAATTAATATAAACGATAAAACTTACTATCAGTAGATGTTAGATTAGCAAGTGCCCAAATTGCCCAATGCTGACTTGCTGGAGCATCGAACATCGGTATGAGCCTTAAAATCGGCTTGAACGATCGATAATTTATGAATCGCTTCGCTTCCAAATCCCAAGTGTTGGTGGCCTAAAAGGCATCCATTCGCACTGATTATATCAGAATGTTTCAATATTTGAATTACTTTATGAATCACTGTAATCTTAAACAATTATAAATACTACGCATTTATAAGATAATGTTTCAGAAGATACAAAGCAAAATAATACAAGATAATTTAGAAAATAATGTTCGATACATGACATACAAATTACTAACTGATATTAGGACATTAGCTCTCTTAACTCAAAACGATCATGGAAAGTAATCCACCTCAACTTTTATGGAAAAAAATTTACCTTGATAATTTTATCCATAACATATGTACGTGATACACTCACTTTTGACCAAGCTGCTTCTCCATCACTAACCATATGTGCTAGTACTCCTGCACTATTGTAACTAATCTCAATGCCATCAACTAACATTGTTAATAGAGCGCTGAAGATGTTGAAGCGGAGAAATATTTAATAATGGAATTGTATTACCTTAATGTTACTACTAAATATGTTTTAGTTAATATAAATGATATGGTATAAAGCAATTCATGATTAACATAGTTAAACACTTTTATTCTTACCAGAAAATATTGATGTAATCATCAAGCATGAGCTGTGCACGGAGCTGCTCTACTTCAGCAATATTCCCAATCAAACCCATCATATTACGAACAAGTTCTGTTTCGTTTTGAAACTGTTGATAACACTGATGAAATAAACGAAGGCCGTCAGCATTGAGAAAGCGTTCGCAATTGACTGGTGTTTCATCTAATTTAAGCACTAATTAAAGGTCGGTGTTTTCTAACTCAGAGATGACAGTACCATAAATAAACAAAGCACGCAGTTGTAGGGTTTTAATATATACATTAATTAATGAGCAGTGACTCATAAACTGAATGTTTGAACTTAACATTTGCTTAGTATTAAGAAATGAAAAATAACCAGTGATATTCCACAGAAAACTCCATCCTACTTCCATGACATCATCGCATATGCTAGCAGCATGTTTTCTGCGAATTTGTTCCAGAATAATCTGAACATGCAGGAAATAAACATATGAAGCAGCCATGATAAAAAAAAAAGAATAAAGTTAAGTTGAGAATTGAAACAGAAATTTAAAGTAATATTAAGAACTACTAAAATGGTTTTACAAAACAAAAAAAGTTTCAAGAAGACTCACTTCAATGGCACCAATATTGCCAACCTGAACTTTTTGCTCGCCTTCTACATGGCATGCCATTGAATTTAATAAAAAAACTACTATACGTTGAGTTAAGTGGTCACTGTTGTGATGCTGCAATACAGCAACCAACAAACGGGCTACACGACCATAATCGAAAAGAATTTCCAGTGGTATTTCGAACTGGCAAAGTGACAAACAACAATTCCGAACCATTACCTGGAAAAAGAATATACTCTAAAATGATAAATTTCGATTCGTTGCAAGTACTACAGAAAAATAATCAATCATCCATTAAAATAATTTAAAAAAAATGTCTTCCAAATTACCTGTTCTTCCATATGTGCATCCATCCCATCCAGCAGTGCGGTAACAACCATTCGTTTTGTATCACGATTCATACTCACTTTACGAATTATGTAAAATAATGAGGCGGATCCAGCAATCTGTAGTGTGCTGTCCTCCAGATGACGTTGCATAGCACCCAAAACAAGATGCAAAGCTTCGGTGTGCTGATTCTAACAAAAATATAAAATGATACATAATTTTTCACAACACATAGGAATCTTCTTTTTTTATATGGCATTAAATCTAGATTTTTCGGCAGAGAAAATAATGGATCTTTTCTTAGACTAATCTTTTCTCTCTTTCATTTCTTTCATTCGACAGAAACTTCAAATCCTAAAAATATAAAAGTCTTTTCAAACTTAAAATAAATGAGGTACTTACTAAGTTATGTCCAAATCTATAAAGCTGATAACTTTCATTTAGAACTGCTTGCAGTAAGCCAGCTCGCTGACTATACATTCGAAGAGCAAGTAGAATTTGTTTTTCATCTTTATCACCAGCGATCTAAAGATTCAGAAAGTAAGGTGATTCATGGGCAAAAAACAACTTCATGGATAATTAAAAACTAAAAACTAATGACTGCAATTAGTCCGCAATAAGCCATGCTAAAAATACGCGACGAATGGACCACTTGATAATTGATGACAAAAACTTATATATTCTGAAACAACTTTCTTAAAAAAGAAAACTCACATTCTTTGCGGGTATTTCAGCGAAATGAGATGCACTGTCACAATTAAACAAGCCTAAATATTCTAGAGGTGCTCCCAGGCAACGAAGACCATAAATATCCGATCTGACAGATGTTGTTCTGTAAATAAACAACTCATTTATTCTTGGAAGTTTTCAGCCATGAGATACATAAAACAATTATATATTATATAGAAAACAAAACATTTACTTTACACTTTCTTATAAAATGAGTGCTTTACCCTTTCACTGGCCGATCGTATGTAGACGGTTGTGAAGCAAGATTGGTTGATGAAATATCTAAATGAGTTAGTGAACGTAAACAAGTAACAATTCTATGAAGGGCTGTTACTGGACGTGGATATGTACCCGTCTCTTTTGTACTTTGCGATAAATCTAAAAATCTGAAAGAAACAGTCCATGATTGCTGCATATTATAGTTGTAAGCTTATTGACATCAGTGTACATAAAGTCTTCACAAAACTACTTTAAAACAATTCCCAATTTAATTGATTTGAATCCAGAACTAACACCATTCTGGTTCTTTCTAAAAGGTGGATATACAAGTACTCAAGCGCTAGCAAGAAAACATCTAACATTGACTTAAGTCAACATATAACATCATGGTTATTAATCGGTAAGAAAAAAAATAATGGAAAAAAATCACCGCAACTAATAATATTACCAAGAATATAATATGAAAATAAGAACAAGTGTAGAATGTTAATTATAGAACAAAGATCTCGAAAACTTACTTAAGCGTAGTAATTTGTACAATGGTGTCCATAGCACGATAAAGATCTGGCACGTCGTAAAGAATAAGTGTTGAAAGTGAATGAGGATATAAACAATGTAAATCATCAACTCGTTGCCAATGGGAAAGGTCCAAGCGTTCTAATTTTTTCAACGGTGATAAAACACGATTCAAAAATTCATTTACTGATTCATCATTTTCACAGTGACTGCGTTTCTGAAAGTTAATTTTGATCAAGCACTAAGGAGGTATCTAAAACTATGTCTGATGCTTTTTATTACAAACCTGCTTAGAAACTTGGATAGCTAAATCACCCTTTTTTTTTTTTTTTGCAAAAGACAGAAGAGATATTACGAATAATTAGACAATGATTAGAAGCTTTTGATTCGTAACGAATTAACGACAGCAGTTACTACATTTAAGGTAAATAAGTGGTCCAAAAATCTGCGTAATAAAAACCTCTTTGAAATTTAGAAGAGCGAAAAGATCGTTCATGTTCAGATTAAAAAAAATTAAGAAATATACAAACTCGATGAAGGGTCAGTGAACGAATATTTGGACAGCGCAATGTGAAAGTCGGTATTTCCATAGTAGGACTGGGTGTAGCTGCCTCCATTATTTCGCTGTTTTCGGAAGCGGATTGGCAACTAAAATTTTTATAATATTTAGTAAAGGCAAGTATAAAAATCAACTTTCAATTATAACCCATACATTATTACAGGAAAAATTACTAAAAAGAAAATTCTTGATTAGATACGAAGAGATGAAATTTGATCCAATAATTTTAAAATAAAACGATGATTAATTATATTAATATGTAAAAAGATGGAACAAAATTTACTTTGAAGTGGATGTTGGACCACTATCCGAAGTATCCATGTAATGTTCAATATTTATATCAATGCTCGAACCGACAAGATCTTCTTCAGATAGTATTGGTAACGTACCGCATGAGCCACTTGTCGAATAACTAACACCAGTTTTACGAGGAGGGACAATAATCATCGGTATGCGAAGGATTTCAAATGATGTCATTGACAACGATATAAGCTGCTCTAAGTGCACCGACTTTTCTTCTAATACTCTATTAAATTCATGACCAACAATTCCCTGAAACAAAGAGTTCATTTCAATCATTTATTTAATAAGGAATAAATAAGATTAACTAGCAAGAGAAACTTCCATAGAACAATGCATCATTGTACTGTACAAGACAATTTTAAAATGCTGATCTTAATAATCAGTCGTCTCTTTGATTTAAAGGCTAACCTTTTCTAAGCTGTCTTAAAAATAATCCAGTGTCATCTGGTTCTTTTCTATTTATTTAAGTTGTGATGAAATTTACAAGTCAATATAGAGAATATCAAACCTGTGTATCAGATATATCGAGGGATGTCAAGCGTTCGTGATGTGCAGCCACTAAATTAGCTAAAAGACGATCGGTCAGGTGAGCACGTGACAACAGTAATCTATCTAAAGGCAAACATGCTGCTTCTGTGAAATGTTCTAAGGCAGTAGTTGGTGTTACACCCTGCAAAATGAGACAATATAGAGTTTCATAAATAAAAGAGAATTCATAAATATATGGAATGAATTATATTCAGATGACAGAGTATTACTAAATCGAAAAATAAAAACCTTCTGTCATAGCTCTGCTAGCACGGCGTTAAGCTGAATTTTGGAATTTAATTAATCAGAATGGATACATAAACATGAATTAACAAATTAAACTTTTTAGCAAGAACAACATAATAATAGATGCATACCGTCTTAATCCACTGTTCCCGCAAAGAATCAAAAACAGCGCTACTTGCTGGCAAGGGAAGTTGAAATACGGCAGCTATATCACTGCCAGCAATTCGCTGCTCTTGTTGGTGTTGTTGCTGTGAGTGATACTGTTCACTATTTTTATTTGTATTAGATTTTGCATGCGCCAAAAGCGTACTGGAATGTGTAGCAACAATATTCGCGGAGAGTTGCAACAAACGCGGTGCTCGCAGTGGAATATCGGCTTCCGTATAAGTCATTGTCAAGACTGCAAGATTTAAATTAAAATCACAGTAAATTAAATTCATTTCTAAATATCGCAATAAGTATTTTGGGGAACAGACTTCACGAAATTGACTGTTAAGCAGAACAAACAATTACCAAGCAGTACCACATGTGGTATTATTGTTTTGATGACTGAGTTATCTCGATTTATTGGAAAAAAGGAAAGAATTTGAATCGCTGTATCCTAACGTCTACACTTTATTAGTCTTCATCCCACTGAAATTAATGTAATCACAAATAGCAAATGACTTATCCAAGAAATGTGACTGAAAGAAAAATCGATAACTATATTCACCCAGGAAATAAACAACTTTCCACTGAATTCTATAGATATGCTGCAGTAAGGGCACAACACTGCACTGCCCTTACCACTCTCTGCTTCAATTATATTAGAGAACGACCACCAATTTATATTCGCTCTTCTGATAAAAATGACTGTCCAGCACATAGCTAAATTCCATTTTATCCCTTTCTTTCTAAGAAATTAATGTCTCTCTCGGTGAGAAACCACTGTTCAATGTAGCAATATTAAATAGGCGAAAGTAAAATTGAGCTTACATACACTATCACATGACAATAGGTCAGGAAACTGATCTTTGACGCAGAAATGCATATGATAACAGTAAAAAATGTTTTTAAAATTTGATGAGATGCATAGCAGTATAATATGGCGGTCAAGCAACCCACACAACCATATAACAGCACTAGTATCTGAGAACTTTTTCGCTTTAGTCATTAAAAATTCAATCATTTAAGTGAGTTAATGTTAGCACGGGCTATGTTGAGGTTCACCATAACAGTTTAGCATATCAGTACTAACTTCATCCAGTAATCCTTGCAACTGGCAGAAAAGGTTAAAGGTCAATCATAGAGCACGCCATTCGGGTGTTGGTATCGCTGTTTGGTTGCTATTGTAATCACCATATGTTTTATCTTAATATATGTTACTATTTGCATGAGAATGTTAAAAGAGAGAGAAGTATCCAGGTTGGAAACACCGACCACCTCGGTACACACACACACACACACACACATACATATACACACAAGAGCACGACATGCATTCATGCACACAGCTACGTATGTGCGCGTCCTACCTTTCATCATTACGGATGTACTTAATACAACTGACACAATGACCACACATCATTTAACTGTCACGCTACTTTGAAAATAAGTTGCATGCTAACTAGCAGAACTGCAATCAAGTGCAAAAGTAGGGAAATGAATTGTAATGCAATTATTGTCATCATCAATACTAATTATAGTCAAATGTTAAATTATTCCTATCTTTTATGCAGGAATAAAAAAAATTCACCTAAAAATCTCAAGTCCACCAATTAAGTATTCTTGTTTTTACGGAATTGACACACCACAGCGCAAGGATCTAATTGCCGCAAGTAAGTCTATAAAATAGAAGCAAGCATAGGGGTAAATAGTTTAACCTTTTTAAGCATCGATACAGGCTGTTAACGAAGAGAAACGTAATAACATAGTACCGCACCGCAATACTGTGATGCCTGTTTCACTGGTGATTATCTGATTGATAGATAATCTAAGCAAAGTCACCCAAACTCGGTTTAGAAAATTTTAAACTGCCAAAAATTCTTTTCCTTTACTTTTACTGACCCCAATTCTTGGACCCCAAGAATATTTTACACATAAACAGCGCCAGCAAAAAAGCAAAAAAAATGGCATAACATGGAACTATGCTCCATCTCAAGTAATCTTATGTGCCATATAGCACATGTGCGTTGCAAATATGCTCAGGAACCATACGACTCCGGTTTCATATTCGACTGGCCGGAATAATGTTTCAGCAGACCTTTTGTTTATATCTGAATTAACGAAAGACGTTAGTTTTCTTTCTCCAAGACTTGTTTCAGTAATGGAGCAGAAATATGTAGAGAACGCAATTTCTCATATAAATATATAAATTCATTTAATAACTTGATCAAAATTATATGAATTTACATAAGAAGTTCAAAAAGGCAAAAAGTCATATAAGTTCCTGAAGACTAATTAGACGACCAGAATAATGTTTATCCTTTAGTCTCTATCAATAAAAAAAAAAAATCAAAGAATACTATTGTTATTCGAAAATTTTAAATCCTAGTTGAAACATTAGATCAAAGATTGATTCTTAAATGCTTAAAGTACAAAGCAGAGAATTTTTAAAGCAGCTACAGCTTTGAAAATAGGCTTGGACATAGAATACTGTTTGAGGATTGATGACAATATCTAATGGCACATTAAAAACCAGAAATTTTCATTTGTTAAAAACCACGTATTGTTAAAAAGCAATATCTAATAGTATTTCTAAGAAGCTACTGGATAAATGAAGTAAAATTTAATTGTCTTAGAATTAACCACTTTAAAGTAATCCATTATTCTTTATTTAGTTGTGTTAAATTAAATCGATGACAATGCTAAAATCCCAAGTTTAGCAAAAGGGTCGTCGATAAAAACGATTTCACATCCAAGCTAATCTTGTACTGCAGATACAAAAACTATCACTCGTATATGGACACATTTAAAAAGTAATTAAATTTTCAAACTTACAATAAAATAATCAAAAACTACATAAAGCAATGTACAAACTAGTTTTAGGGATTGCCAGAGCAACGAAATGAATTGGTTAGAAGACAGCAGCGTAGTTAAACTCAAAAAAAAAAAAAAAAAAACATTTTAAGGAATGTATGCTTAATGCAGCAGAAATGATAATAATTCATTCCAATGTTCTAGTGTTCAACTGCTTTCCAATGAAACATGGGATCTAGTCCAAAACAAAAACTGTTCTACAATTATTTCTCATAAATAAAACAATACTAAGTCAAATAAATGCTGAATCCAAAAACTTGTAAAGGAGATGTGAACTTATGCATATGCAAGTTTCACATAAACGTTCAAAAGGACGATCACTGAGCAAAGCAGAATTGGCCCGATAATGGCACCTTGCAATCCAAGCCAGTACATTCCACCAATAATTGCCAGACCAGTAACATATGGATGGCTTCCTCTGTAAATAAAATTTTAAGGCTTAAAGCTAAAACTAGAAAAATTAAGCAGCGAAAAGTGTGCGATGTGGAAAAAGTACATTGATATAAATTTGATAAATAGATATAAACTAGGTTTATAAAATACACAATTTAATCAGTTTCTTAATATATGAAGCAGCTAAATGTGCATGAAAAACAAGAAGTACCATGAACAGAAGACATGAAGAAAAATGTGACAAATTTCTTGGTAAATGAGTAGCAGCATTTTTATGCGCTCATACAAATGTACTGCTGGCATCACAAAGACTTCAGCCGAAAGATGGTGAATACACATGCTTCATCATTGCGCTTCTTGAAAATCCCTCCCAGCCTTATAAATAATGGTCAGGGTGAAGTCGAACACTTAGCCACCTGGCACCATATGTCGCTCCAAAACCACCCCACCAACTTGACTACTTCACTTTCTGTTTCTTAAAATACTAATCTCATATCAAGTGGAAAATTATATTCAGATTACAAATGAAGTATAACTGTCAAAAGTTTTAGAGGCCCCACCCACAACATAGCTTATGCAGCTTATACAGCATCATGTAAAGCCGTATGCGTATTTTTAGTCAACAATTTACTAACTAAAAGGAACTTATGTTGATTACTTATTAATTAGATATGCACCACTTAAGTCATAAAACTTAACCTTAATTCATTGTAAAAAGCAGTATCAGCGAATACTTTCGGTGCCAAACTAATTAACACAAAGAGGACAGCTGCAGCGACTTCATGCTCAGCGAAATAAAGCTCTAGGAAACCGAAGATGCAAACCACACAAGGCGCCATAACTGGAATTGATGCAAAAACAGCCGCCAACACTAAAAAATGTATTCAAAAGAAGTTTCGTTGTGTTTTGCCTTAAATCATGTCTGAAAGTATTTTTGCATATATATTTATTGCACCTATATTTATTAGATCTCAATTAAAAACTTCTTTTCTTTGGATATATCCAAGATTTATTCTGAAAAGCAGTTAACATTCTGCTCATGTCAGCTCAAATAGATTTTGTTTACAGTGCACTAATTTTATGTTTTGTTTTGATTAAAATATTAGAAAACACTTAATTGATGGTATGAAAACAACGTTGATATCGAACACAGCATGAATGAAATAGGTGTACAAACCATAAAACAGTGACATTTTTGCTGATAACACGAATACGCCACTAAAGAAAAAGAAAAGTTAAAAGGCTTAAGAAATGATCTTTCGATAAGTGGAATAAGTTATGTTCATTAAAACAAAGAAAAGATAATCCATGAAAACAGCGTCGATTAAATTTTCATTAAAATTAAAAATTAAAAAAAAAAGTGACCTTATAGCTTTTTCAATAGCTGGAATGATATATAATTGAGCAGAACTAGTTGTGTCATGAGAGGGAGGCAATGCATCACTGAGCCATTTTGTCGGTAGCCAGATATCCTGGCTACTTGATAATAGATAATATAAAGTTGTCAGAAAAACAGTCTAAAAATAAGAAATGTGGAGAATAGCAAAAATTTCAACATAGGAAACTAAATTTTTCTACAAAACTTTTTTTAAATTGTAAACTTAATTTACAAAAAAGTTGACAGCTTACAATTTCGATGAAGAAATTGAAAATTTCAAGTCCAAAATTTACAACAATTACAAGAATCGTGAATAAAATTGTTCCCAGAGTAGATATATTGCCTGCGACGAAAGACCAAACCGAATGCGCAACCTTAAGATAATCTAATTAAATTAACTTAGAGGTATAAAAACTTGTTAGAAAGTTTAGTAACAATAATCAAAGCCATTTTAACAAAAAAATCTCTAACTAATCTAAATCATATAGGGGAAACTTGAAATTGGTTCTTCGAAGCGACCATCCAATTAATCCGGAGTCTAAAGTAAATTATTTTGGATCACTTCAAAATAGGCTTATATTATATAAATTCAATAGAAGCATATTATAAAGAAATTGTTCAAAAAAAAAAAAAAAAAAACACTGACGGTCATGATCGTATCAACATTTGCTTTAACAAATTCAACCACTTCTTCTCTTAGTGTACTTATGCTCATGAAAACTTCTATATTACTCATCCGATCTTTTGTGACACTGCTAGATGACGAAAAAGTTGTTTCATTACGGTCTTCCCACATTTCGTACAATTTATCCAGTAACTAAAAGATTTTTTTTGACTTTCACATTTTGTTTCTAATTTTTTACGAGAACACCAGCATTTTATGAAATACAGAATTTTAATCATTAACAAATTTATGTGCCTCAAAGATCAAATAACTGTACTAAGCTAGTAAATAAAGACTGCGTTAGATTATCAGTGCATTATCCATTTTTAAAAGAAAAAAAATTTTCTCCAGTCAAAGCAGTTTTTCGCATTAAAATTCATTCAAGAAATTTAGATTTGATATCTATTATCAAGAAGCTTCCTAGATATCTATTATCAAAAAGTTAAGCAAAGACCTGACCTCAACCACTTCCTTTTCAAGCAATTCACCTTTGACCGGATCTTGTGTTCCAACGAATAAACGGACATTAGCCGCCAACAATTCTCGTCCTTTGAGATATCCCTTAAAATAATTTCTAATGAAATCACTGAAAACAGATTGAGGGGAAAAGGAAATTAAAATAGCACATATGGAATATTTAACTCTTTGATGAATAACAAAATAAATTTGATGTCACCTGTTCAACATAATTATCAATATCGCTTTTATCCAGTTGATTTCCGGTGTAACTCCGTGCATAAGCCAACATCCAGTCAGGTTGTTGTGCTAACAAATTGGCACCAAGCCGAATCAGATGAGCTACTTCACCATGAACTTGAAAAGCAACTAATAGAGTGATAAAAAGAGATCCAAAAATCAGCAATAACATAACCAGAACTGTTGAAAAATCGTCCACTGTTTTTCGTAGTGAGTTTTTCATCTAGAACGAAATTATTCTAAAACTTAAAACTGCATAAAAATATATACTAACAATCGCTTAGCTCAGAGTTTCTTCAAAAATCCACTGATGTCCTCATGAAATATGACGAAGTCTAATATACTAAGAATATGTCGAGAAAAAGAATTGACCAACAAAAATTTACCGCTTGATCACTTGAAAAAATGAGTTTGAAATAATTTCTAAGTGGGCCTGCAACAGTAACACGTATGAATCTTTTCATATTTTCATGGAACTCTTTCCAAATCATACAACACTTCTTTGTAAGACCAGTTTGAACACCAACTTCCACACCTGAAAATTTTCTGATTCAGGAATTGAGAGATTACTTAAATTCTGCAATTTCATTTGCTTCTTCAAGTTAAGCGTGTAATATAAAACATGCACTTCAACAACTAATAATCTCTATTTCTTCGCAAAAAAATTTTGTCTTTCCTCAGCGGTATTTCTTGCTCGAATTACAATTGGAACACTGCGAGGGAGTCATTTTAATAAATGAATGATTCATGTCATAAGAAAATAACAATGATTTATATCCCAAGAAATTAACGATTTCTTTTTTGCACCCGAAGCAACGACAATGAACATCGCTCAAAAGGTGGAATCAGTTTCTGTGGCAATTACCAATTCTTCTCAGTACAGTGAAGATAGCTAATAAGAGTATGCAAATCGGTACAAAATCATGTCGAACAGCAAATTCCAAAGCACAGAGTCCAAGAATAGCCTATATATAAACAAGTAAATTAAAAAAAAAAAACACCGAAAAAAGAAAAAAAGTCGAATTCGTAATTGGCAAATAAAAAAATCTTACGATTTTTTTATTAAGCAAAACAAAAAAAAAAAACTGAACAAAAGAGCTCAAATAGATCTATTGATCACCTGCAAATAGAAATCGCCCGTTAACTCCTGGTCGAGCGTCTTTTCCTTGTTGCTCTCTGTAGATTTTTGTTCAGCTTCCTTGAATTCTGAATCAAATGCAATTTAACGCCAATTTTCCTAACTCCTTTTCATATAGATGATAGCATAGTTGTCATTTGGACTAGAAGATTTCTAATAAAGCACGAAGAAGCAAAACAAACTACCGGCTTTTTCTGGATCTGCTTTTACTTCTCTCGAAGTTAAAATACCAGCTGCTATGGTTACAAGAGTTGCTGAGACTCCACTCATAACAATAACACTGAATGGACCAAAAAAACTGGAAACTTTCACTATACCGAAAAACCTATAGAAAATTGAATAACATTACATTTAAATTTAAGAAACTAAAAGCTCCAAATGAATGTAGATAAATATATAAAAACTGAAACCGTATTATGATTAAAACAAAATCTATCCGACTATATAGTGCTACGGACAGAAAGCGAGGAAGATTTTTATAGGCTCTTTTTATAAAGCAAATTTTGTAAAAAAAATTGTCAGTATGAACTTACCAGAGAGGAACAGAAATCAAACGTGCTAATTTCTTATTTACACAGTGCTGCTCTTGCATATAAAGCCAACCGACAAATGCAGCGAAGTAGAGTATCATAAAAACCGAAACCTTTAAGAAACTGTTAATGGAAAAAAGAAAAAATGTGGTTCCCATAGGTGCTCCTTTATTAGCATATTAGCTTGAAGTAAATTATAATTTTATTCTTTAAGTTGGTTCCCTAATTCATGAACAAGCCTATCAGGCTTAGATCACATAAATTAAAATCAGGAGCACTGAAAAAGGCTTCAATTTGAGTGAAGCTTCTAATGGAAGCTAACCCAAGATTTAGTGCAAAACAGAATGATATGATCGGTATTTTGATACAAATCACCAAGAAAATGCAATAAAGCGACAAACGTAATGTGGTTTAGTGCTTTTAAAACCAAATAAGCACCCAGTATCATAAATCCTTCACGTCTACAACATAAATATCAGTACCTGAATTCTAATCAAGTTTTTCTCTGCAAATTTTAAGGAATTTTAAGAACAAAAGATGGTGAAAATTTTTAAGATCCATTTTAAGAAAATCACTAAAAAAGTGAATTATGAAAGATAAAGATCCGGAAGTTTCAAACCTTGCCAGATAAATGAGGAATAAATCGGTAGCACTTATAAATGTATCATATGGTATGAGAACAAGAGCTACAAGCAGCGGTGTCTCACCATTGTCCACTCTCGATAGCCATCCTTAACTTATTAGTTCCACAAAATTATTGAAAATTATGATTCCTTCAGTGTGAGCGAGAATTGACAAAGCTGTCTCATGAACAAAAAAGCCTTATTTTTCTACAAATCATTAATAAGGTCAATGAAACAGTACCATTGATTGCACAGTTGAATTTTTTTTTGACTGGAAAAAGGATCGTTCCAATCAGTGTAGCCCACAACAAAGGTGTTAAAAACATGTACATCACTTTGTATACGGCATAAAGCCCTACCAAACATATTCCTGTCTGCAATATGGTTACTTGAATGATAAAGTCAGTTATCGAATTAATATAATTGGTATAACTGACATTCGCAAAAAAACAGTGAACGTATTTCAGTCCATAAAAGTTCAATCTGTATTTTTTAATAGTCAAGACAATTCCATACTTAATGAACCAATAGTAGTTTACAATTAAATCAGATTTCATAACATACTAGCGCAAGCAACAGGGCATTATAGAAGGCGAATTGTAAGGCGATCCATCGATCGCTACTTGACATCAGCTGTTCCACCAGGCTCATTTCTAAAAATTAGAAATAGAAGTGCTATTCTAGGTTTATCATCTATTATAAGCACTTTGCTAACGATATAAATTTTAAGTTTAATAAAACGAATAGCACGGCATAAGAAAGCATGACCAAGCAGAGATTGCATTATTTACTAAAAATTATTTACCAAATGCATTATTTACCACGGGAGGGAGGATGAAAGGAGAAAAATGAAAGAAATGACACCTTTTTCCACAAGAAATGCCTGAAATCAAATTTTTAAAACATTTAGTGAATGCCACAATAAGAAAGAGAAAGAAGAGGATGGGAGAAAAAGACTTATCATGTACAATAACGAACACATTTCAAGTAAAATTTCTCCGATGAACATGATTTAAGGTATTGTATCACATCTAACAAAGTTTTAACGCTAAAACTCCAATAAAGAAGGATCGATGGAAGATGAGAATGTCATTTGGTCTTCTCTTTACATGAATTCGAAATATTGTTAAGCGAAATGTTTCTTGAAATATTTACGGACGGCAAGATATTTCGTACAAAATTTCACACTCATCGTGTTCAGCGACATAGAAGATGCTGTAACAGACGTGTGAAATGCACTGACACTTCGTTCGCAAAAACGCAAAACTCGAAAAATTCTCAGTGTTCTTACGAAGGCTACACAGAATTGAGTTTCAACAACTATTTTTGTAGTAACTTTCACCAACCAAAGAAAACGGAAAACTGTAAGCCTAACTTCACCTCTAGTAATTAGTAAATGTGCCACTAGTAATGCACTAGAACTTTGAATCCGAAATGATCAATCAGAAATAAAAAAGAAAAATATTACGAGAAAAAAATAAATAAGCACACATTTACTCTTTCTCTCTCTCTCTCGACGTCACGACTAAAATGCAACCTATGTTTATGGGTTTATTTCTGCTGTTAACCTTCTTTATCATTATGTTATTCTTGTCAGTATGAGCAGAAATTGATAATTGTGAAACATTCTTTTGAATACGTGCCTATATAACTTAATTTTAGAATTTTATACTGCTATAAATTATAATGCTATGAATAATATTACTTTTGAACAACTTCCTTAGTAGCACTTGGGACCAGGAGAGATTACTTTGGGCCATTTATGTTAAACATTCTTGCTCCGCTTATATTTCATTTCCTGCTTAATGTTTTTTCTCATTCCTTTGCTTCTACTTCCTTCGTATTGTGTTCACCTAGTATTTGAGAATCAAAAAATTTACAAGGTAAAAACTTAGATTATATACAAACCAGACTGTCTATTCATTCCGATGAGAGTGGAAGGTAAGCTGACAAGCATTTTGAAGTTCCTAGTCAGTATCATGTAGATGGTATCATTCTTCAGTAATTTTTTGAAAGCAAATACGAAATCAAACAAAGAGCAGATTAATGGATATATAAATACAGTTTCAAAAATTCAAGAAATAACTGCTGCGACTAGAAATGCAAGAAACAATGATTATATGGATTCCAAGTCTCTTTTTGTCTTCCATATAATTCCGTCTCGTACTACTTTACAATAAAATTTGTAAAATGAAAATACTGCCTGATTAATATTGTAATTTACAGACATCACTGATCACCCGTAAAGATGACGTAAAGCATGCCTCAGTCACATGCGTATAACACACGTACCGGACGACATCCCATCGTGAAATTCCTCGTTCATTTCACTTCTCCTGCTGCAACAGAGGCGAGTGCTAATTAAGGCTCTTGCCAAGAAGATCGACCATTTCAAAATTCGAAAAGTGAGAATGCGGAGGATATCTGGCATAATGGGAGTGGTAGTTCTGTGTTCTGGTGGTTAACGGTTCAGAGGCTTCGTAATGCTATAATTGTCATAAAGTAGGTATTTCAGCGAGAAGTGTGGGAAATGCCGGCAGATGGTGAATCATCGAGATATCACCTCCGTGGACCTGTCAAACCACCCTCACGTTACGCAGATTCTGGCGATGAAGGTCAAGAAATTATACGTATGCCAGTTTCAAAACCGAAAAGGTAGTTATGTTTGCTTCGCATTAATACCTGCGTACATATCTTTGATACTGATTACTGGAATAATAAATGTCAAACAAATTTTTCTTGGTTACGTATCAATTGACATACTCTGTGTCATAGTGCATTACTTTTCCACCGTTCTAATATGCTATTGTTGATTGTTTTTTATCATTTGAAAAGTGCTCGTTGAAAAAAGCATTTATTTCAGTAAACGTCTTTCACCGTTAAAACGCGGTGGAAAAGTGTTGAAGGCAGAGAGTGATACTGATAGTAATGTTTCTAGTGGCACTAATAATCGACTGTCCGCAAAATCATCCGAGGTAAACTTTATCATCTGAATCAGTCGAAAGACTCTCTCATATCATTGATGCGTATTTTGCTGTCAGTCGTGTAAATGTCAATTACTAATTCGTTTATTTTATTTATTTATTTATTTTTTTTGTGAAACAAGTATTTGTGTAAGCAAAAACGTGCAAATATATAGGTTGAATCCATGAATTCTATTTCTATTTTTAAGTTTCTAAAATTGCCAAATTACTTATCATAATAGACTTACCAAATTAGAATCTCTGGAAGTTATAATTTTGTGTTAGAGTCCCAAGAAGGCGATGAACAATGGTGCTCAAAGGGATATCTCACGAGAAAATGCAACACCGCGCACTGCACGTCCTCAACCGTCTGAAATATCGCCAACAATGAGGGAAAATTTACGACATTTGAAAAATGTTTTAAAGTTACCTAAAGTATTGTATTCCTATTTGTTTCTTTTTCTGTGATGTGTATTTTAGAATAAAGCGAATATGAAGGCATATAAGTTTACAAATAGACAGAAAAAGGAATTATGTTGTGTTTTGATACCTTCGGCGGGTTTTAATTTTTTTGGTTTTGTTAAGACATATCTCATATTTTTTATACGGTTGTGAACAGAAAAAATCGTTAATTGGAGTCGTTAATTTTTGAAATTTTTAGGCTCGTAGGTGGGTTTATTGCGAATTTTTTTATTCCGGTGTTGACCAGCAACTTTTCTCGGGAGATAATGAATTTGTGCAGTTGCTTCATGAAATGTTTCCGAATTTACGTACTCTCAAACTTTGTCGACCGGAATGGAGAGCTATCAGGAGACTAATAGGAAAGCCGAGGAGATGTTCAGAAGCTTTCCTAAATGAAGAGCGTGAGGCGCTGGAGACAAAAAGGTAAACTGTGAAGAATTGTTTGAATATTCCACTGCTGAGTTAAAACTGTTGTTGATATTATTAGTACTTTAGGATGACTGTTAGGTTTCACAACTATTACTCGAATCGCCTCATCAATTTATTATTTTCTTCAGATTTTTTCCTCAAGTATCTGCTTCCTTATAATTTATAGAGCTAGAATCCGTCAGATTTATGATGGAAGCTTGATGAATATTCCGCCTGGATGCGAACTACCATTACGACTACCTCCTCCTTTGATAATCGGAGCCAAAATCTATGCGCGTGTACGGACTCCCAAAGATGGTATTTATGCTGGCACAATTGATGCCATACTGCCAGCTTCATATCGAGTGGTCTTTGATAAGGAGGAAATGATACCACCAATGATTATCAAGGATTCGGAAGTTATGTCCGCTCAAACGGTTCATATTTTCATTCATTCTAAGTAATTTGAAAATCATTTCATTTCTTTTGGGTATGGTACTGAAGTGTAGACATCGTAGTGAGGGATGAAATTTTACATAAGTCCTTTCTTTAATTCGTCTGTCATCGGTATGTTTCTCACTCTTGAATTTGTCTATGGAAGATTTTTGGTGAAGTCACTGAATATTTCTATCCCTTACAGTGAATAGTTGATTATGCAGACTTTGTGCATCGAAATCTAGAAATATCAAATTTTTATAGATTGAGTTACTATCAATTAATTACTTTCTGGAACAGAATCGTTCTGCTATCCCACCCTCACTGATCAGATTCGGCCACGCAGGCGTCCTTCCAAAGTTCACTGATGCATCTTCCAGTCGTTCTCCTTCAGGGATAGATTCTATTCGAAAACCAAGTAGAAGTAAGTCATGCATAAGATATTTTCTCATCTCCTTTGATCATAAACTCTTCTTCGGTAGCAGTGTAAAATTGTCCAAGATTATTGAAAAATAGTGGAACATGAATCCCAATGCAGGAGTTGTACCAGTTTATGCATCAAATTTATGCTTAACAGATTTTATATTTAATGTCTTTTTTCATTTATTGCTGCTATTTCCTCATTTTAGTTCGAGATGAAAAAGTCGGAAATTTCCCTGTTCGAATGCTCGTTATCCTTGTAAAGTTGAGCAAACTAATCGAGGTGAAACGAACTTTGGTTAAATCATTAACTGAGCTAAATATGGAGGCTGAAAAGATGAATATGATAACTGATTCTTATCCAGTCGCTTTCCAGGTTGCTTTTTCCGTTGTTCGATGTCACTTTTTCAGGTTATAAAACAAAATTCATTGAGAAGCATTTTTGGTTTCAAATTTCTGTGTGACAAACCGAATAATACAATTTTTTCTTTCCTTTGTATAAATTTAGTGCTAATTAGCATAATAAAATGGGGATTGGTTTATAGAGGAGGTACGCTCAGGTTGTGATTGATATTGAGACAGTTAACAGGCAGCTGCAATCGTACTTAAACGCGGTAAATGAATATTGCAATCAGTTGTTGCCACAGTTGAGTGAAGTTGGTTTCAGAATATATTCTTTTTCAGAATTCTGCACTCGTTCTTTTCTCTTTAAAGATAATTTATTTTAATATGTGTTTCTAAGAAAGTTGCCCTTTTATATGAAAATCAATTTGACCATTCCACCTTTGTCCATTTTTTCTTTAGCGTTGTCCCGTGATATCTGCAAATTATGTATTCAGTATGAATTTTAATCTCATTTCTGTCTCTCGTAAGCTGAAATAATTATTTTTTTTCCGTTCAAATTTTCGTTTCTCATTGAGTCATGCAGTTAGTACATCCATTGAGATGTCGAACAAAACCAGATCTATTACTATATTTTAAAACACGGAGGGAAATAATAGGTAATTAATATTTATTCTGTTTATATATACATATTATCTTTTTTGCAGTTTTTATTAACTTCACGACCAGAAGCTCTAAGAAAAATGTGTCAAACTCATTCAGTACAAATCGTCAAACACTGTAACAACGGCTTGAATGTGCAAAATAAGCATGCACTAGATCTGGTTACCTCACTTACAGCACTGCTGTTACAGGTAAATTTTTGAGTAAAAACCGAAAAGTTGGAAATGACTTGAAATTGGATGCATTTATGTCATTAGTCTAGACAGTGATAGATTCTTGGATACAAAAGTTCTAGATAACAGAATTCGAATTAAGTCATATCAATGTATATTTTTCCAAGATTCGAGCACTGGGACAACAGAGCTGTACACCACTCGATTTGCATACTTTATCGGAATCGTTGAACGAAATTCGGAAACAAATCGACCCGTCGAATGTAGCTGCCTTTCAAGATTTCGTGGAGGTACACATGAAACAGATCCACAACATGATGTTAAATATTGGGAATGTGTGCTAACCTTCATTTTTGATGAGCGGTGCTAAAATTGTTATATTTTGCAGTTTTTATTAACTTCACGACCAGAAGTCTAAGAAAAATATTCAGAGTCATTCATTACAAATCGTCAAACACTGCAATATATTTTCACTCAAAAAAAAAAAAAAAAACGGTTATTTTCGAATGTATCTTGTTACACTTGGAGAGTAGCTGTCCGATAGCATACGAATATCTACCTTGCATTCCATACAGTTACTTCCTTGTTATTTATGACTGAGTGCACCGATGATGACAACGCCATATCACCGGCAACTTTGCTACTGGTAAATTCTTCAAAATCACCTGTTTTCATACCATAGGAAATGGATAAAAACCGATCAAAGAACTAAGCTGAATTAAAAACAGGCATGAAATACGCGTTTTATTAAATTACAAGCAAGTTTTTAGGGAAAATCAAAAATCATTAAAAAACTCTAAACAATACGCAGTGAAGGCCTAATAAAGAATATTAAGAAGCACCAGTATGACCTCTGGAACATATTTGAAGTGCATAGTGAAAATGTCAAAAAAAAGAACTTGGGACAAAGGGAGTGTCAAATTTGACAGTTGTGTTGAATTATATAGCAAATTAATCGAGAAAATCGAGAAGCTTGGCAACAGCTACGAGGTCAAACGACTTCGATTGAATGGCCTTAAGTTTTATATCTTTGAGGTGTTAAAATGGTTGAATATTTCCAGTATAGACTAGGTGGTGAGTGGAATACATTTCTGAAGAGTGAGCAGTTCCAGTAATCTCAAATTTGTTTGCCCGAACGTTTTGCGGTTGAAATTTGGTATAGATAATAATAGAAGAGTTTTCTTCTGGAAAGATCGGAAAGAGGAGGAAATGAATTCAAGATTTTTCTTCTCTAAAAATCAATTACCAACAGAGGAAAATAATGAACTGTGAAATCAAAACTGTGATATTGGAAAGTCAGGAGTGTATTATTACTCTGCCAAGTGCGCTAATCTTTTCTAAGCTTCAACAGCTTCTTTTGGAAAGTATGAAGGACTGTGCAATATCATTTTAGTGGTTATTGATATTGAACAGACCAGACTAACGATCGCATTTGACAGTAGGAAGTAATTCAAGATTTGTAATCACACTCCTCATGATTATTATTAGGACATAATAACACTTTGTTTTCAAACAAAGCAGAAATTTGAATTTCCTGAAATGTTGTAGATTTTCGGAACATTTCAGGTGTTAAACAATTTAATGTAACATAATTCGCAAATTTTAGAACAAGCTGAGGAGTGTTATCTGGTGATAGGAAACAGCAAATTGATCATATAAATTATCAAATGCATTTAGAGTATATATGTCTTGTTGTAAATTTGAACTCAAAATTTTTTCATGGACGTTTTAAGAACTCAAAATCGAGCCAGCTTTATCAACTAATTAACTAATACCAAATCTGATTAATACTTTTCACTAATACAAAATCAGGAATAACGTCCATAAAGACAAAACGCTTCAAAAATCAAATACATTCTGCTTTGTCGTCTGCAACTTCTCGAAGATAGTCAAAAAATTTGCATAAACTCCAGTAGTAATTGCGAAAACTCCAGTTATTATGACGAAAATGTTCCATGAGATTTTTAAACATCTTTGATGAGCGTTAAGTGAAACCTAGAAGCAGAAACAGACGTTCAAAATAAAACGGTGAAAAGTATTTATATATATTTATAATCTCTTTTATTGTTCTTTCGAATTTTATATTCCATTATTTTGTTTCAGAAAAACAAAAAATATTAAATTTTTAACTTTTTGTATCCCGTAGTAAAAATTACGTTGTAATGTTCGTGCTTAAGAGATAAAAGAAGGCTTAAAAATAAGAATAATGAAGGAAGTATTTCGTGGAGAATAAAAAAATATTTGTGAAAAGAATAGAAACCTTCCAGTCATTCCAGAATGTGATCATTTCGAATATTGGTGGATATATAAGTGCACAAAGAGTGCCACTTGTTACTCCGACCAATGGTATCATGATTTCTAGGTGAGGTATACTTATGGACATTAACATTGTAATAGACACCCAGAATATTCTGAAATTAAAGTAATTTTGTTTATGCTTAAGAGATAAAAGATAATTTCAGCTCAGTAATTTCTCCTTAATATACTTTTTATAACAGCATTAATATGGAAAACAGATCTTAGTTACGAGAATGCTTGGACAAGAAGTGTAAGATAAAAATGAATTTATACTATGCGCTTTGTAAATATATCTTCTGTTGTACATAAAAATTCTTTAATGGATCAACCTGAATCCTTTGTCGACAATTACTTTCGAAACATTTGGAAAACGATTTGTAAATTTTCGATGAAAACCGTTGAAAAACATATCCAGTATGACATACATGGCAATGGAATGGCCCAGCATCGATTGTAACATTAGAAATACATTAATAATTGAATATAACCTAAAATAGATCTCATAAGTTAACAGTCTCTTCCTTTTCATGATAACTGAACTGCATAGCTTTCCACATAAATTTTTTAGCAATAAAGACATCAAAGACACAACTAAAAAATAAATAACAATAATCATCACATCTACTACTATCCATGGGATTCTGTCTTTCGACTGGTATTTCTTATAAATTGGAAAGTTGCATTCCAGATACACTACTTTTCCAGGAGAAATGAATTCTAGATGAATAAGACTCCTAACATCAATTCCAGAAACTTTAAGTATAAAAGGCAACTAACCCCTCCTTCGGCACATTCATAGTGATAGTTGGTTGTGTATTTGGTCCAAATGCCGTATAACCATAAAAACCAATCGCAATCATGAATAATGTACAAAAACACATTGTTGTTGGTAATACACCGAAATTATTTAGAAAATCCTCCGGTGTTTCAAGTTTGTTTTCCACTGGTAGGATCTTCAATTAAGAAACAGGAAAAATAAGAGCTAGGAATCAAAAGAAATCAAAAATAATTACCATTGTTTGTCCCTCGAAAGCATACATTGCCATCCCAACAAACATGATGACACCAGTAAAGTCAGTTGCAGCAGGAAGTTCTTCCCAATGATTTGGCTGTCGTAAAGTGAACTGCATAATAACGAAAGCACCCAAAAGGAAAAACACAGATGAAACCATCGCAAACACACTGAGCAGACGCATTTCCGTGAACATATTCAGTGCGAGAATGGGTACTGAAGATTTATCAACAGTGAAAAGAGTAATAAATATCTTTAACAACCTACCCAATGTATAACATTTTAATATGTCCAAATATACCTATCTGTAAAGTATGAAAATTGATCAGTATATTTATTTGAAAACTTGTGAATTGTAGAATGTCCTACAAAAAATGCATTTCCCAACTAAAGCATGGCTAATGGGACAATTCCAACCCTACTCGTACATATTACCTACTAAAGTTTTTTATGTTTATTTTACTCCAATTTCTTGTCACATTTCGTGCAAGTTTTAATAAACATGAATATATTCGGACATCTGAGCTTGGATAAAAATCAAAAAGAAACCTACCAAACGAAATAAGGGCCATTACTTTGGCACCTCCCACAATGCAGTCACCCAATAAATGATTCATATTATCCGCTATAAACAATATAGCAACGCTGCACATACCTAATTGATAGAACAGTATAGTAATATTTACTATGTACCTATAAGAAAAATAAATTATTAAATATGCGAATGGCATTCAATGCTGTAAATTGAAAAATAAAAATAAATATGAGACAGTTCCGCTTATTCCAGAAAACAACAAGAGAATAATGCCAGTGACGACAAATGAAGTCCAGTATCCTATGACTCAAACTTTGGTAATAATGTTTAATTATGTATGCAAATTGTAAATATTTAGTATAATTAACTACCCTTAGAGTTTCATTCGCATTTAGCTACAATAAACTACCAGATAAGCAAACACCATACTGATGAGAAAATTTAGATTAACACTTACAATAAATTCATATTTGTCTTCACCAATCAACATAAATTTTACATTTAAACTGCCACCAAACTTTTCAAAACAAATAAAATTTATTTTGCTTACATAATAATTTTGCTATTATTCCGTAATACCCTTATATCACTGAAATCACAGACTTTCTTCGCAAAATGACCATAATCAAGTGAAATACGTTCTGATTTTTTCGCCAAGTGTTGCGAAGATCTGACAAGAATATGGTTCCCGTACCAATTAAAGCCCGCAATAATGAAATTTAACACCAAGGACATCTAAATTATCACTATATGAAATTCGCATTTATTTAAGAAAAAAATGTCAAAAAAAAATGACATAAAAAGCATTTATATAATTATCTGTGTATTTTAAAACACTAGTTGAAGTTATTATCAACTATGTACTATGAAACTGGAACTTACCCATAAACCACCAAGTTTCCAAGCATATGGCAACGAAAAGCAACCAGCATTAAACATACTTTTAGAAAGAGTCATTATTGCTCGATGTGGTCTGTAAATGTGTTTAACTTTTATTAAAAATAGCAACATCTTAAAAGCCATGACAAAAGTTAAGTTTGAATTGAGAATATGCCAATAAAACTGTGAAATTCAGGTTACATTCCAAATTACTACCAAAATAATCAATTAGTCCTATTTTTATGAAAACTCACGAAATGACATCACCCTTGCGTGTTTCTTGTTGCACCAAATGTCTAACATCGTTAATGCTCGTACTATCCTCACTCATTCGACCAATTCGATACTCAACAAGGCTAAATAGCAAACAATTCGACAAATCGTATCCCCTTGTTTATTTCGAAAAATAAGCACTAACAAAAATACAGCGCCACTGATATAAAAGCATAAAACTCATTATGCTATTTTGTTTCCGTTTCAATCTGTCTAAAAGCGAACTGAAATGGCAGTCACACAAAATCCACGAAACTTCTTAGTGTATATTGCATTGATGTTGACAATTCTTGCAAAACTTATAATAATATACCGAACGCATAAAGACGAGCCTGTTATACCACAAAACAGTCCCACCAAATAGTAAATTCATTTATATATTAGCATTCATTCACACAAAAACACAAAAGCATACACTATGCATAAAAGGATAAAGTATACAAATTCAGAATATTAGATTCGAAAAGAAGGGATGAAGCGTGACGTATACGCTAGAAACACGTGTATATAACTACAAAAATGCAATGTTTCCCTCATGAAATATACTTCCTACTACTGTAGAACGAATAAAAGACTGATTTAAATAGATATACACGAATCAAAGTAATGAAAAGTGAGTGAAATACCACAGATAACAGAATTGAAATAAATTTCAATTGAAACAAACTTCAAGTTAATTTTCTATTACTACAGATTTCATGAAAGAAAAATCTAAAGCAAGGAATGTAATATAATTTTTATAATAATATATAATAATAATAAAAAAAAATAATTTCAACTGAATAAAATAACAAAAATCAAACATAAACACAATATAATTGACGTATTCTATTTCTTCAGTGGTTTTCGTTTCCTTACGCTTCTTCTTAATTGAACACTTTCCTCCATCTCATCTTCTTCCTGTTGTTCTGTGAAAAAAATTTCGTCTAACTGCATTTATATGCGTTTTTTAAAATGTTGAACCAGCCTTTAACTCCTATATTTCCGGTTGGCCATGCTATCTTTTTCATAAAACTTCAATTCCATGCTTATCAGAGGCGTCCAACTGTTTGTGATAGAAAACAGCTCACTGCGCACATGCTTTATATCTCAGTATTGATAGATAATGATGATAAAGAACTGCGAAAGAGATAGAACTCATGCAAGCAACATAATTTACTCACCAGCAATCAAGCCTTCTTCAATGTGTAATTGTTCAGTTACATCCATAGCTTCAGTAAATATGCTTTTCGTCTAAAAAATAGTATATATATATATATATATATATATATATAAACTTTCATATCCAAAACAAAAATAAAGAAATAATCTGTGTTTGCAAAACAAAATGTGCATTTGAGAATTGCAAAAGATAAGAAAAGAAGAAGGAAACGCATATTTCATACTTGACTGTTTTGATAAGTACCATATTTAGACTGCTGTCGATTGAGAACTGAAATTCTTTGTATAGGGATCTTAATTTCGAACCATTTTGCCCGAAAACCATTTTCTGTGAAAATAACACCCGATTTTCGATGAAAAGAAAGAGTAAATGATACGTACGACTCCGTACAACCTGAGATATCCTGAAATATTTGAAAAAATTGACGCTATAAGAAACTATTGGGATGTAATCCTAAACAAATTTGCTTCAGCATGTAGAAAATAGCGCTAAAATATAATCTTCGGAATATCAAACTGCAATAACAAAAACTGCAAAAACTGCAAACACATAGAATTAAAAAAACCAAAAAATGGAAAAATTGATCTAAACCTCATGCAAATAATTTGTATTATCAAAAAGGCAGCTCCTGAAGAGTACTGTTTGTTCTTTGTTGGCCTTACAAATTTTCAGTAGCCCATAAAAACTTCCGTTACCATACCATTCGAAATGCACCAGTCGGCGACTGACTGAAGATACATTTCTGTATTTCTCTGAACAATGGTGATTTTCTAAAAATCAGCAAATTATAACATAAAAGAAAACTAAACATGAACTCTGCTTATCATAATAATTATTAAAAAATAGATTACAACTGTGACTAACAACAATTTATATTTATCTGAAATAAAAGGCGAAAAATTAACATACTTAATGAATTGAAAGGGTTTTCAATTCTCAACAGCTTCGCTGAGGTTGGCGACTTCGGCTAAAAAGTGGATTTTAAGGCTAAAGCTAAAAGCTTTTAATGTCAACCCGCGTACTTCCGATGGAATTTTATTTTATTCCAGCAAGCAGCATTACGATACTAAAACTAAATGATAAACTCCAGTATGTTCGCCCTTATAGTTGAGTTTATAATTTATAATCACTAAAATAATTTTTGGTATTACTGATTCAGCATATTTCTACCGCAACGCTATATCTATGTAAATGCTTCCACAATACTGACCATTACATTACTATGTCACTATATGTTGTTGATACCGAATTTCCTGTTACAAATTTCACAATTCAATTCTCGTCATCAAAAACCAAATCATACCATGACATTATCGATTCCCCTTGTACTTTTCCCACTATTATGTGATTGCTGTTCATCTGAAGATAGCTTAACCTTATCGGCTTGTTCTTGGAAACTATCGCTATCTGAATTTTTTGTTACAATATGTTTGATATCGCCACTAAAACCAGCCACATTTTTTGAACACTGTTTTGAGTAGCACATTTTGTAAAGCATTTTACTCGAAGCTCCATAGATTACATGACGAGAGCCATTAACGCCAATGCAAGATACTGCAAACGGTTCATCCGCTATCGTTAACAACCACTTTTGCTCTGGAAAAGGATTTGACAACATGTTTCCTTCAGATAGGTTTATTATTTCAAGTTATGCCAATCAAATATTTAAACATAAGCTTAAATTATATTCATAAGAAAGTTCATAACATTCACCTTTAGAGAGAACCAAACAAGCAAAAATTAAAGGAAAAAGCAAGTATTTTCAATTTAAAAGAAAAAAAATTGAGAAGCGATCAGAATACCTGCAAATTTATTAAAAACTTTTTCTAAAAATTTTAATTTCTTAGGAATCTCAACAATCACCATCATATGTATAGCATTCAGATGCAGTTTCATGAGGAAGAAATATTGCAAATTTTTCAAAACCTTCTGCATGATTTTGTTCCAAAATTGAATTTGTCTGCTGAAATTCTATGAAGTGAGAATTTCATTTAGAACTCCACTAAGAAAATTGCAAGTTAAAATATAAATGATTTGCTAGCTAGTGAAATATATACAGATTTTTCGATACAAAATTATTTTATTCATATTAAAAATTTGTCTCCTAGCAATGGAACTTTCAAATTGAGCAGCTGCACTAACAAATGCTTCAAAATAGTTAGTATATCGATTGACATTCTTTTCTGAAAGACTGCTACTTGAGATTGGAAGTTTTAAATGCTTAATAACACGATCGTTTTTCGTATTCATGTTTAAATTTGATATTACCGCTACGACTGCCGCAGTGAAGTTTTTCAGGAATATATCCTGTATAGTTTGCAAGACGTCAAAACAACACGTGATACTATCAGCTAATGTTCTCGAAGACTGCTGCTCACACAACATATTCCAAGCATTGCTCCGAAGATCCAAACGATACTTAAGAGATTTATGACAACCAAAATATTGCAGAACCTGAAAAATAAATACAGTAGAAAACGTTAAAGTAAAATGCAGCAAAATTCGAAGATGTAAGGAAACAGACTTTATCAAAAGAATAATTCTGGAAAGTATCGGTCATTTCAAATCTTTCTGTTGCAATTCCGTTTCTTGAAATAGTTGCTTGCCTGATATACTGAAAAATCGATTTACATGTAATACTAAGAAAAAAATAAACTTAAACATTCCAAATATTATATTTAAAATGAAAAATCAAGATTTCAAAATCAATTAAAGTACCTGACTAGGTAAACATTTCTTTAATGATCGAATTTTAAAGATTTAATGAACATTACAAAGTCCAAAAAATTAGGCAAAATGTTCAGAGCTTAAGTTGATTCGAGCTAATAACAAATTCAGGATAATTCCGCCTTTTGTGTATAATTACTAGTCTTTATACATATAACTCTGAATATATGTTTATAAAGTCTTTATATATAAAGTTCGATTTGTCACTTGAGAAAGCTAAAATGCCCAGTGAAAGAATTAATAGTAACCCAATGAACATTTTTTCAGGAATGGGAGCATAAGTTCACATATATATTAGTTAACTTAGTCCTTTCGCTTAAAATGGAAAATTGAACCAACGCAAAAGAAATAAAATTTGAAATAAAAAATTTCTTTTTCGGTTGATAAATTATAAAAATAGACCATATAGTTAGAGCTCAAAGACAACACAGATGTACGCAACAAGGAAAGTAAGCAGGAAAACACAACTGAGATTTTTATTCTGAGATTGAACATTTTTTGAGGAAATAACTATTTACGAACTTTGAAGAGAACATTCTGAAATATCAAATGTAAAAAAACATAATTACTTCAATAATCAACTGTAAATCGAATTTTAGCTCTGCAGCGGAACGTTTGTTCTTTGCCGTAAATGGTGGTGTTTGTGATAACCAATTAGTGAAACTAACCAAATCCTTCCTGAAACAATGGCTGTTAATGTTATTAGTTTTTCGTAAAGATTCCACAAACCATTGCTTCTACACGATCATCAGTGCTTCAAAATTTTGTCATCTCGCAACTTATTCTCTTGAAGAAAACTAAAATTATAAAATCTGGTTGATTTCAAGAAACCTAAAACTACTTTAATTCCTGATTTTAACTGAAAGTTGAGAACTGGACCTATTGCGCGTAGCTACTAAATGCATTTCGTTAATTTTATTTATGATATCTTCCGCTAGATTCTGGAAACTCTTAAGTTCTTTTAACGAAGATTCTTCATCACTTTTTTCAGCATACTTGCCGTAAGGATATACGTCGACATCGAATAAACGTTCAGGTAAAAGCTTTTCACTGAAATTACAACGATCTAAACTTCGATCTGAAATCCAACATGTAGGAGCAAAACTCGATCTTGATAAATTATCCATAAACGAATGTTTATGACACAACTCAAATTAAGTAAAAAATATCTTTGAGCATTAAATAAAAGCCAAATATGGAAAAGGATTTTACATAAAATGATTTATCGACTTGACTTAATGTTTTCCGAATCACTTACGTTCTAGAACTACGTAACGCACATCGCATCTCAATAAACAATTGTTTCATGTTATGCTGCAATGCTTCTGCGCCAGGAAGGAGTTCTCTACCGACGCTTTCAATTATATCACTGAAACTTCAGGACTAAATTATTTCCTAAAATGATCCCGGTCATACTCAGTAAACAATTTCATCCATGTCGTAGTCACTAAAGAACTTCCTCTACTTCTCATAAAATAATCAAGCAAAGATGCAATTTGTTTTATGGAAAGAAATTGAAACGACCATCCCTGCAGAGAAAATAAGAATTCAAGTACAAATCAAATCAAAATTAAGTGGATACTGACCCGAAACCTTTGTGTGCCCAATCAGTCATTTTTTTCCAATCCGCTGGTTTTAGCACGTTGCGATAAAAATTTACCAGTTCTGGACTCGCTTGCCCCGTCAATATCATGTTGATAAAACACTCTCCAAGATTACAATTTGAGACACTTTCTTCACCAAACAAATTGAATTTTTCATTAAATTCCTAAAAATGATGCTTCTTAGAAACTGAAAAGTTCTTAAAGTTTTTTTTTTTTTTTCTCATCAAATCATAAAACAGAGAATTCAACCCATACACAACCTGTGCTAAATTGTTGTATCTTACAAAACGTGGTCCCATATTCATTTCAGAATAATTTGTTGCAAAACGCAGTCGTTATATTCATAGCTTTTCTTATGAAATTTTGCTAAATTATACTTATTCGAAATACTAAACCAAAACAATACATGATAAAACAAAAACTCGACCAATACCTTTGATTGATCTTCCCAATCAACAATTGCTCGAGCAAATGTTTCAGAAACAAAGCACACATAAAACACTAGTTTCAGCCACCTGAAAAGTAGGAAGTATTAAAAAAAAAGCACCAAAAAGTTCAAAGATAGTAATCTGTCATTTAAAAAATTTTCCAGCAATACTGCGAAAGAAAATGCTTCATCACACTACTGCGGTAATAAATTTATGAAAGTAAGTATGAATAAAGCATGGGATAACCATAACATTCATCTAAATATCTAGAAAAGGCTAAAGTTGAGTAACCTGCGTGCAATAGTCCATATTAGACCGTTTTTCAGATAACCTAAACTGTCGATGTCAAAACCAATAACCTGAGTATTCATTCCTGGATTGTTCTCTAAAAAATGCTTTGTGAGAAATGTACGAAGAAGTGCACTTTGATTTTCACTGTGAAACATTCAATAGTCCAAAAATTTGTTTCTATTCAGAACTCGAGTATTTTATGAAAATTCATGGAACGGTTTTATTTTTCACGCATTTTTAACTGCATCTGATTAGGAAAATTATCCTATAAGTAAATCTCATATCAAATCTTTTCACCTGAGTTGAGTTGACCCATACTGGAATATACTACCATCAATTGACCTCGCTTGGATGAATAAAACATATCACCCACTGTTATTGAATAAGGATCACAGTTGCCTAAAGAATACATATGGAAAAATTAATATTGCTTTATAATTTTGAACATATCTCTATGAGAACTGGTATAAAATGCAGAATAAAGAACCTATCTATCGGAGCGGAATGTATCGCTTCTTCAAAGTACCACTCACATTAAACAATTGGAAGGAAAACGAACCAAAAAAATGTAGCGACGGCTCGATCGAAGCAATAGGAAGAACACCTGCTGCCAAAACAATCACAGTATTGTCTTTATTAAGCGCGAACAATAACGTTCCAAGAACACTGAGATTGCTGCTGTCACAGAATGCCTTCATTGCTCTTAATTGATTCAGTTCTTCTGGTTTGTCATTTAAACTTTCACTTTCTGATAAATCACCAAGCTGGAAATAACTTTCGTCAGCAGCATATACAAATGATTTTGAAGAAGAATGCCTTCAAAAATATTCATTCATTCAATGAACCCTCATCATAAATCTTCCTTTTTGATCTACTCTCATCACTTTTTTATTCATTCTTTTCTCTATGAAAAGTTATAAATTTGAAATTGAAGACTTGGTAATTCGTAAAAGTTAGTTTAGAAAATAAATTGATATATGGTACACTAGAGAATTCAAGACATGAATTATCAAAAAATTATACTCAAACTTTAATTAATACAGAGTTACAAGCTAAAAAAACTCACTGCGCCAGAAAGTGCGTCCTCACTGATTAGGTTTATGTTCAGCTCTTGACTGAATCGCTGCCATCTCATTAGCGTTACACGAGCTTTCATTCTAAATTCAAAGTAAATCAATGAAATTTAAAACGTGAGAAATTGTTTCACTGCTGAAGATGCCATCAAAGCTAAAGATCTTTGGATGACGTTTCTTTTTTTCTTTTTTTTTTCAACTGAAACTACTACAACAGCACCGAAGTAGCTAACAAATAATTGAAATCATTTTTTCCACCTGACAGTAAACCTGACGATTCCTTTTTCAGCATCTAGCAGATGAATACAGCCGTCACTAAAAGCTGTTGCAAGAACCTGAAATTAATATATTAATATTAAATTTAAAAAAAAGTGATTCAGATTCCGAACTGAATTTCAAATGTGATGTTTACCTTGCCATCAGGACTCCAACACATCGTTTCCAATCGAATTTCACCTTCCGATTTGACTCGGTCCAATAAGAGTGGCCTGACATCATATATGTCTCTCTAGAGTAGTAAAAAAATTAGGGACATAAATTGCCTTTATTTTAATATTTAATCATGAAAATTAAAATGAAACAACAAAGCTAAAAAAATCAAAATTAAGGGATACATATTTTGAGTAATTTTAATAATAATTTTCTCATATCAGGAAAATAAACTATACCTTCCATCCATGCCTCCAATGCAAACGTCGTACGCATACTTCACCTTTTTGCGAAGCTAAAGTTAATAAATCAATGTCTGGATTCCATAAAGCTTGATGAACCTGAAATAACGTACTTTTAATTTCTCTCAACATCACTATGGTCAGGTTACTTGAAATCTAGATTATGTTATGATGGCTACAATTAGTTAATTTAACAGTTATATCTTTGCAAGCAGTATAAAAAAAAGGAAAACCTTGAATGAAAAAAAGACAACCTTGAATGGAGAACGGCGACTTAAAACCGTTTTGCCCATCAAATCACTTGGAATGCAATGGCTTAAAACTGAATCCATGATCTCACTTTTACACTCTTCCCTGCAATAATGTGTGCACTTATACCAACAATAACAACAAGCAACATAAAATGAAAAATACAATGACCTGAAATTAGCATTGCAGGTAAAATATACAAAGCGTACAAATATACAAAAGTGAACATAATAAACAAAAGATGACCAAAAATGAGCAAGATATTCTTTTTTTCGCCTATTTAACCAGCAAAATTTGCTGTAAATTGATGCTTATGATATCAGTAATGTACTTGAAGTCAATGACACCATTCACCTCCACGACCCGTAATATCAGAACTGTTATTTTCCTGCATTAATTTGAAAACCTCAGTCCCAATTGGCTGTTAAGTCCGTCTCCGAAATTTTTTTTTTTTGTTGAAAGTTGAAATTTTTCTTAGATCTAGTTTCCAGGAATAAAATTTTCCACGAAAGTGGAGGAAAGTAGGAGGAAAGAAAGAGATAAGAAAGTAAAGGAAGGATAAATGCTTTCTGATGATTTAAAAACTTTTGCAGCCGGCAAGTGTAGCATGTAACTGTACGACATAGTGGAGTGGATAGCAATTATTTCACACCACACATCTGCACTAAGGTGTTTCTTATCTCATACCCTGATACATAAAGCAATAGCAATCAGAACAAAGGAGTTAATGATCACTTAATTAGTAATTAAATTCTTTACTCCATTTCAAGAATCACCCTACTTGATCATAGCACAAAAAAGAAGGAAAAAGTTGCAAATTGAACAACAGATCGTGACGAAAGTACACATTCGTATAAAAGTCACTTGTGACAAAAATAAGAAGGAATAATTAATCACATTTGATCATCACATTTAGCCTTTAGTTTGTGCAACACCATTACCCATTACAGTGGTTATCTATCATTGGCAAACAATACCATAACCACATTGAACAAACAAAGTAATTTAACCCAGTTACATTCCTGACAAATTCAGTTCCACAACTTAAACTTCATATAAATCTCATACACCACACTAAAAATTCGTGCTATAATATGCCTGCGCTGAATATTTCGGGACATCCTGCCAACTTAAATCTTTCACTTTTTTTTCGCTTTTTTTTACCTAAAAATTTTGACTAATTGCTGAAAGCTAACACATAAAATCGTTCATATAAACTGTTACATAACGCTTTTTCTTAGTAACATAAGATTCAGTCATTCGACTACTTCTAACGACTTCTAAAATAGCATTTACTCTTCTAAATTTGCAATATCATAATGTAATCAGAACTGATCCAAAATTGATTTATTTTTAAATTGAAGAAAACCATAAATCGTTTAACACAGTATGTTCCTCAGCAAATATGTGAATTTTGAATTAATTTATACGATGTGCACCGTACTTTGTCTCTCATCATGATTAAACTCAGTTTCAGAGTACTAATTAAACAAGTAAAGATAATAAAACTATGATGAAAAAACTGACTTTAGGACAAATGAAATTTCGGAATTCTGGGATAAAGCATTAGGAAACATGTAATGAGCACCTAATGCAATTTAGATTATTGCATTTCAAAAACAAGCAATTTGCTTCACAATTTTAAAGCACCAATCACTACACGGAAATATCTTAAAAGTCGGAATTCTCATTATTTGATCTTCCACTATTTTAAGATGTGCCAAACTTTTCCTTTTGCATTTCATTGATTTTCCAGAAGTTGCCTGTTTTCATTAATTCGAACTGTTTCTGCAATCTTAATCTTCTTTCTCGCCTTTTTTTTGACTTTGAAACCTCGATCTCTGGTTCGTCACCTGCACCCATTGTTTGTACATCCTAAAAAAAATGTAGAATGACTTAATTACAAAACTGATTCGTAATCGAAGAAATACCCGGATATAATCCATATAATTTTTAGTATAGAAAACGATTTCCAAATACTTCAAATAAATTTCACCTGCTCACCACTAAGATCATCGTCTTCCTCTTCTTCTCCCGTACCCGTACTACCAATAAATGGACTATTTTCGGCAGAAATGTGTAATGACGATTGTGATTGTTGTACTTCTGTAGTAGTTGCAAAGTTCATCGATGCTTCGCTAAGTGAATTCAGTGAGGATTGGTGCTGCTGCAACATGATATAAACAAAAAATTCGTCTGATATCGACAGTTTATAACTAAATATTAAAACAGATGTTTTCAAATTTGAAATATAAGAGGTATTAATTAACTACAAAAGATAACAGAGATACCTCAAATGCTATTGCCATTTGATTAAGAACAGCTTCCATATCAGGTGCACTATTTTCTTCACCAGAACCATTCTCATTTTTCCTCCTCTTTCTGTGTTTAGTTCGTTTTTTCAACATTTTCTGCACTTCAGACTCATCACTTGAAATCATCTCCTCGATATGTTTATGTTTTCTAAAAATATTAACACAGACTATTCAAATTTAAAAAAAAAAAACTTAGGTTCCGACGAATTGATACTATCCTTAAATTACTAGACGAACGAGGAATTTTCACTAGTTTCAAATTTATTTCGAATATATTGAAACAAACTTCAGACTTTCTAGCCTTCCAAATATAAATTCTTTGAAGAAGATAAACTAGAAGTTAAAGAACTGCACTTTTTGAATATTAAGTATAATTCACAGACAAATATTTACTTTTTCGATCGTCTTTCTTTGGCAGCTCTATGCAATGCCTGCACATAAGATCCGCGTTCAATTGGATAGCCACGAGTCCTTTCAAAAGCTAAAATTTGAATCTGTTAAGATAAAATTTTCAAGATGTAATTTAAAAACTCATTACACTATATACGTATATATTACCATCAATGGCATCATGTGAAGACCATCCCAAACGATCAATTAAGAATCGACATATCAAATAACCGCTGCGATTAACACCATTTGTACAGTGAACACCGATCATCATATCTGAAATTTTTATTCATATAATATGAAAAATAATTTCAAAGAAAATTATGTTTGCAAAGTAAGCAGCAATTACTTGGTTCGAATGAAAGCATATGAATAATCATATATTCATAAACAGTAATCTTAAGCAACCTGAATCCAATTTTAGTATGTGAAAATGGTAATGACCAATTTCTCCATTGTTTCCAGTTAATCGTACCAAATGTAAAATTAAAAACGGGCTGCTAAGAATACTTCAAATTCTTAACTAATTTTAGTTTTTCATTCTTAAGCCAAGTTGTAAAAGTACCATTATCAGCATTCGATTCCAAAAAACTATCCACAGCCATATTGAATGCATCCACCAGATCATCTCTTTCAATAAAACCTCGACCAGGACAATTGATTTTTTCATATAAAATGCACATCCCTTCAATATCATTGCGCTCATAGTAACGATCCGTATCCGTCAAGTCGATGATAAGACCCACTTGAATCCCTTTTTCACCTAACTAGAAAAGCCTTGTTTAGTAAATTCGTCTCTTCTTTTATATTAAAAAATGATTTCAAGATAAGTTAGATTAGTTAAGGTTGTTAAGATTGGATTTATAGATATCATAAACAGCTAAATATAATAAGCGAAATTAAATTTTATAGATCAAGCAGAAGGAAAAAAAATTGGACCACAAAAAACACTTATTAATTAAAAGCAGTGAAACTGTTGTCTAAAATGAAACAGAAATTCACAAAAATTACGAGGTAATCGTTGCCAAATAAAATAACACTTTAAAATCCCTAAGATTAACCAAAATGTTTGTCTAATCAACTTACTTTCTGTAAGAGGCTCAAAGTGGTGAACCGCTTTTCCTTCGGTATTTTCGTTGATAACATCATGCTGAGAGGCGTTTTGAAAACCAAAAACCGTGTATTTGATATAGGTAGACCAATTGGTTCGTAGCGTAACCATCTAAAAGAAACTTTCTGGAAAAGTTCTGCAGATACCAAGTAAACTAAATCCCCTGAAAAAAGGCTTTAATAACTGAGATAATGTAGTAAAGCACATTCATTCAATATCAACATGCACTTATACCATTTCCCTTGCAATTAAAAGGCGTTAAGGGAATAAGGAAGAGTAGGAAAAACTATTTTTCTCTCAAACCCATTATTTTACTGTAAAAAATTTTGCCGCTTCGCTTACCGTTCATTTGTGACTAACATATACGTCACCCTTACGAGCAGTCAATATTACGCCCATTCCCCTGTCCTCTTATCCAATCAAGAATTGTGTCTGGACCATCCCCAATCATTTCGTTGGGTTTCTTGTCAAGCGTCAAGGCAGTAGTTCTTTGCAGTTATAATAACGAAAATAAAAAGGATAAAAAATGGATAATATTATTCAAACCTTTAAAGTTGGCACATATGAATTGAGAACGAAGTTACTACGTTTTGAATAAAAGACTTAACGTTTTTAGTACATATTTTTAGTTAGTTCAATAAGATATCGACAGTATCATGCATTACAATCCCTCAAAAGAGATTTGAACTTTAGAAGTCCCGACAAGCAGCATAATTTAATTACTCTATTGTCACCGGCAATATAATACCGAAGATTTATTTTTTTACACGGTGAACAACCACAACTTATGCTGAATGGAGTTATATGGAATCGAACTTTTAATGTTTTTTTGTAGAAACGAAATAATCAGTTTGATTCTACAATCATTAGTGTCGCTAATAGATAAAGACAGTATGGCATTATCACCACAAACATTAATAGAAACTTGTTAAATTCATTCTCTTCAATAGAATCGATTATCAATTTCGTCCTACTGACAAAATTAGATAAGAACGGATCAGTAGTCGTTTTTTGGAAATAGTTAAGAAGAAGCTATAAATCTTGATAGCGAGAGATGTTAGTCTAGTGTGAAAATGACAAGTTTAATAGAAACTATGAATTCAATTTTGAATTGAAATGTGAGAGAGAGAGAGAGAGAGAGAGAGGAACAACAGTGTTATCAAATAAAAATCTCACTGTTTCGGTACCACTCGACTGGTTCGTCCCATTGTACAGTCAAACAATCTCGATGAACTGAACTCTCTTCACTAATAACTTAAACCCATCCAATCCTTCACAACCACTTCACGTCCTCGTACAGTTTTAACGTCGCTCTAGAGCTGCGACAGTTTACGGTGCGATTGTGCAATACCGCTCGTCTCTCAATTTAGCATCTGAAGGGTTAAGAGGGAAGTTGAGTAATCAGCAGAAGTTTATTAACGATTGAAGATTAATGAGGGTTTTGATATGTTGTACTTGGAAATGTAGACATCGCATTGAAGTTGGTATTATCATTGCTGGATCATTGGTAGCGTGACCTTTCAGAGATCCATAGTTCATCACTCATTCTGATTGCATACATTTATTTATTGCTTGCTTCACTGTACAACGTTTTGTATCAGGCAGGTTGTCAATTCTGTTTTTGCTAACCTGCAAAATAGCTAGAATCTTCTGAAGAATGCATAGATTTCATGGAAAATCATTAATGATTAAAAATGCATATTTCTGCTAATTTAAAGGACTACAAAAATATGCATTTAAAGCTAGAAATGAATCGCTTAATAACCATACATAATCATTTTATGGACATTGCTCTAGCTGATTCTAGTTGTACAGCTTATTTATGCAACATTGGAAGACAGCCATTCCTGCATTACCAAAAGTGCATGGTTTTGCAACTTTAAAAGGACAGTGAAACATTTGCGCATTATTAGTGGATGGAAATGCATATTTGACAACTTCAAAAGATAGTAATTAGATAATATCGCATTGTTAGTACAGTTAAGTAACGCTTAGTGATCATTAATATACCTTTGCAACCAGATTTATGCTGGACATTTTACCAGCTTCGAAACTAGCAGTATTTATGTGTACCAAGATGAATGGAAATTGTATTATGTCGACACTAGGTCATGTAATCAGAAGAATATTTACTTTTGAATTTTAGATCTGGTTTAGTAGTATGTACAAAATTTGAAAAAGGAGTGTAAATAGATCATTTTTCTTGTAGCTACCCATCGAGAGGGTCTGCGTTTTTAGTATTTTCAAAACAAAATCGCTTATGAGACAGACAACTTCATGTAAGTTGTCTGTCTCCAATTCCAAACTACAAGATCGTCTCAGAGACTTTTAAAGTGGCATTTACTAACAGATATTATCCAGTCTCACTTGACTCCATCATTTATCATTTGTCAGTCCGACTGGACGAATTTTTTTTTATATTTCAATTATCCTTCCTTAACTACATTTTTCTTGGTATCACCTGCTCACTGCTTAAATTTCAATAGCACTGATTCAAAATATTAAGACATTCCCAGATTTTGAAATTCAATGGTCAAAAATCATCGTACAGAACTTGTGTGTCACGTGATAGTTTGTTTTGATTGAAATGTGTAGTTTCCAAGTTGACATATAAATAGCGCCTCATTAGATAAGCAAACAACTGATACATATTCACGGTTGGGATCACTAAAACTTACAGTTTCATCCTGTTAAAATTAATTTGTTTATCAAATATATGGTGAAGTACTGGATGTTTCGGAAAGCCCAATGCTCCAAATGTGAAAACACAATCTTTTCGTAGAATTTCGGGAAATACCAGAATTCCTTGATATTAATCTCCCATTATAATGAAGATAGTATGATTAAATTTCATAAAGGCATTAAATGATAGTACAGCAATCTTAAAGTAATAAAATATGCTTACACAATAAAAAATATATTACTTTAATTAAATACAGGTTGGACAAACTTCTTTCCGTTCCTTTTTCTTTCTTCTCTCCATCATCAGTTACTACTTTCTCATTTTTATTAAAATTCTGTTTATCTATAATTGAATTCTGAAGTTTTGTGAAGCAATTCCAAACTTTTTCCTATTTTTTTAATTTTCAAGGGAAAATTCGTGGGAAATTTCAAGTGGAATTTAAAGGGTGGTTTAAATTTAAATGAAAATTTAAAAAAAGATTACCTCTTCTATGCTCTTCAGATTTCCAACTTACTAGTTTTTCAGGTGACTTTTCTTTATTTTCATGGTTGGGTCCTTCAACTTCTGGAGGCTGCTTCTGATTCTTAAATTTTTAATCTTTACCTTTCATCTGTCTATCTTGACTGTCATTTTTTGTCTCTTTGCCAGAATGTGGATGACGTTTCTCAGATTCATTAGAGTTCGGATCACCCTTGCCATCGAGTTTCTTCATTTTGCTTGATTCTCTTTCATCTGATTTCCTGTTCTTTTCAAGTTCTTTTACTTTCTAAATTCAATAAAGTTATTTTTTTCCTTTTAATTTCCTGTTCTTTGACACTACACTAAATTGAATTGAAAATTTCATCAGCTGTGCTTTTATACATACGTGTGAATGTGAAGGCATTTCAATGTCCGTTTCACCGTCCCTATTGAATACACTAATTTTTGAATTTTCTCTCAGAGATGGCTGTGTCGGTTCAACAGCTAGCTCTGAAATGTAATTCTAAAATTTTCATATCAAACTAGTGAGTAACGGATTACATTCAGATCAATCTTTGGTAATCTGACAGGGCAAACGATAGCAACAGTATAGTTGAACCACATGGGGTCATTGCGTTTTAGTTCATTAAAGCTCATCTACCAGTGCAATGTTTATTGTGAAATGAACCTTTTCTCTTGGAACAAACGATAACTGCCCAAATGAAAATAGCAGAAATGATGAGATATGATGGTGCTATTAACGCTTCATTCAGTGTAGAATACATTTATATCTAAACAATGAGCTATATTTGAAAAGTATTCATAGAGTGCTTCATTTAATATTTCAAAATCTTTGTGCGAACAATTCTCATCCTGTTTTTATCCTTAAAAAAATTTTTCAAGTTATCAACAGAAAAATATATCAGTCTTATGTTAACTTATATACTTTCAGGTTATTATTTCTTACATTACTCATCCATTAACATTCATAACTGATTAAATAAAACCGCTGAAATTAGTATTGCTATTTTTCCTATAACTTTTCTAAGCTTTTGGGGAGTAAAATTTTAAAAGATTTTAAATCTCAGTCTATTGTATTATGTTAGTAAGATAGTTTTCATGTTAATACTTTGTTAACACTAATTTCAGTAAGTGGAACCGAATTATAAGACAAGCGTAGTCTTTGCAAGACACCGCTCACAACTAGACATAAAAATGAAATAGATAAGACTTGGAAACTTACATTTACGTAATGACCTGAATACTGATAAGAACGCTCGGAGTGCTTTCATGCATTACAATATATTAATTTGTGTTATTGCATTTAAAATATCTTAAAATTTCTATTCAAACGATACTTTTTTAAAAAATTTCTTGAAGTTATTAACACGACGATTCATCACCGACTTATATTTACATTGAGCTTTTTATTACTTACTAAAATATTCATTCTTCTTCAGTTTACAATTTTATTCTTAATTTCGTTAGCACTTAACAATCCTTCAACTCAAGTGATATGACTGCATCTGACTTTATCGATTATTTTAGAAGATGAAATTTAAAATTCAATGAGCGATCAACCAGTAAATATTAAGGATATAATATTATTTGTAATCTGAAATTGTGTTATTCGCTGTTAGGAAACAGACTCGAGCCAATAATGCGATACTAACAATTTTGCAAGCATATAGCAAATAAACATCCCAGTTAAAGTGCTTGGATCTTACTATAGCTTCTCAGTTATTTATAATTGCTGACTGGCCCCTCTTTATCACCATCAGACTAGCCTTTTTAGCAATATTTATAAACTTTTAGGCATATGAGTTTTTTCGAATATTGGCGCTCTTTGGTAGCGGAAAGTGGCTCTCACCATTCTCTCAAATTCTCTCAAAAAAAATTGTACATAGATTCCGTGTGTTGAAATTGAATGTTGCATTTTTAGATCTGCCTTTCTTTCTTCCTTTTCATTTCGTATTTCTTGTTTATCTTGATTTCATTTGTTAGAATATCATGAAGTCATGGATTTTTGAAAGGTCTTTACCGACGTTGAAAGCTAAAAAATAATGTCAGATGTGAAAGTCTTGATATATGGAACTAAATATCGCAATTCTCAAAAAGAACTTTTCATAATTTTTAAAACTAAAAGCTATTTTGAAGTCAATTTATCCCGCTTAGGTTACTCTGTTTTTTGTTTGCTGCTGCTCAAAACTTACATGATTTCTAACATAATTTTGCTTTGACGATGCATTCGGTCAACTTCTTATTATGAATTGGTGAAAAATTATGCTATGTCAAATAAAAAAGGCTTTGTTGTCATACAAGCTATTAAGTTTTTTCATACAAATTACTAATTGAAATTTTTCTAGAAATAAAATAATAAGAACTTGACAGACCATCATTCAGAATACTTTAAAAATGACTTAAAATTGCATCACGGCTCTTTCTAGTACATAACACGAAATTTAATTAATAATTTTAACACTTATGCGGTGTGGATCGGTGAATGAATAATAATACAAAACTAAATGAAACGAAGACTGAGAATTGGGAAGTTTATCAGCATCGAAATCAAGGTCAATTACATCATTAAGCTGATACTCATTGAGTCATTAATCGACGTGGACAATATTCTGCTTTTTTTTAGAAGTTGTGTATATTTTGTTCACTTTCCAGACGTGACTTCTCCTCATATTTCTGTATCATTTCTGCCACTGATTCCAATAATTTGTATTCTCCAATCATCTCCTTTCCTGTCATCTTTTTATCACAAATTTTATGTTTGATAGGATTCTGAAGGCTTTCATCATAACAGTAATGTAGACGACTGTGTCTACTATTCCAGCTCTTTTCTTTCTGCAAAATTAATTTCTCATCAGCATTGGATTCAAGTCTATCTGGTACTTCCTCATTACCCGTAACCATCTCAAAAATATAGTTTGACTTCATCATTTTGTGATTCACATTCAAGGCTGGATTTAGATTTCCACGTGACTGCGTTGAAGTAAGAGTACTCGTTATCTGAGTTCTTGTAGTAGCGATTTCTGCTACTGCCGTTTGTTCTTCCATTTTATCGTTATTCACTGCAAGTGAATGGAAATCTTTGTTAGTTAGCCTTTTTAGCCTTTTCTTCATATTGTATTTTGCATGAAAGCATTTTGCACATTATCTAAAAATGTTACGGATGGGATTTTGTTCACTCTAGAATAGCAGATGCGCAAAATGCACTACCGCCATGATCTCCAGAAGTTTAAGCTTCAACTTTGATTAAAAAATATGTTTGTTTTTAATAATTCTAGTAATAAAGTCACCACTAATATTGGCAACATAAGTGACCACAGTGGGTGATATTTCGGTCATTTTTTGCGAACTGTCTGTGATTCCGTTCATTTCCTAAGAATAACTGCACTATTACTAAAATATAAAAAATAAATTACTATGAGATTTAGGTTATAATTTAATGGTTTTTTAATCCATTCGTGAATCTCGAAAAAAATTCTCAACGGCAAATCTGATTCAGGAGCTTGTCTGGTTCAATTATTTCATTCTTAATGAAAAAAAAAAAAAAACGAAATAATTGATAATAATAATAATAATAATAATAATAATAATAATAATAATAATAATAATAATAATAATAATAATAATAATAATGAAAATAATATGATCAGTAAACAATATTGCATTAAATTAAATGTTGATTAATGATAATTTGAAACAGCAGTGATCAACTAAAAAACCTTTTCTTTTGAAATGTATTTTCTTTGTGCCGAATTGTTCCAATTCATATTTAGTTCTCTGTGACGTTTGAATAATGTGGATGTTTTAGCTGTATTATTGCAGACAAACTGCCCATGTTGGGAATTGTTTGATAACCATTTGTTCTTCAATACTAAATTTACTTTACAATTAGATTTAAAACGTTTCAGCATCCATTTACCAAACCTTTTCTATTCTCAGCGTTTTGCTTTCTGGAGCAATTTAGAATATTTGAAATTGTAATGCTCATTATGCCACCAATAACTGCCATAACTACTAAGAATCCATTTTCAGTAACATCCATTCAACCTGTAACTCATTTCGTTGCATAGCTCCAGCAGAAAATTTTCAAAGATACACGAGAAAAATCAAATGAATGAAGGAAAATTTAGAAAAACAGAAATTTAGGAAAAGAGAGAGAGCTTAACATTGTTACCGAAAATGCAACTGTAAAAGGCAAAGTAAATAAGCTAAAATGAACTGCAGCGATGAAAAAGTCTCCTTAAATATTTTCTTTAAAAATTCATGACATTTTTGTTTTCCGAAAGGAATTGATTATAAAAGAAATGTTGCAGAGCGTACTGAATCATTTTGATTTATTACAATCGGTACATAAAGTAGCACTTCTCTTATTAAATTTCAAGGCAATGAATACAAGCTCAATCAATTTGCAACAATAGTAAGTTATTCGCGACTAACGTTGATGTCGTGAAATGGCTCAGAGTTGGGTTATCGAAATATTAACTGTAAACTGTTTTGATACGTTCATGGCGACTACTGTAGCAGGATCTATCAAATTTCTACAGTTAGTTTAAACTGGTGGCCTGTATAAAAAACAGTGTCAAAGTAATCTTCAACTCATAATCAGTGCATTACTCATTTTTTGAATAGATGAATAAATTCGCTGAAAGACCCATCAGTTCTAATAGCTAAATCAAACTTAATAAAATATGCTATTAATCTTCAGAGCATACGAAAGGAAAATTCACTAACAGCAAATCAAAACAGTATTCGAATCTGAACGAAATGATTGAATCCACATTGAGCAACAACGGCAATAATACGACGAACAGTGACCGGGATGAAAAAAGCAGAAATAAGCAAAATAATGGAACTATCCGCTGCATGCCGCAAAAAATTTTTCCATTAGCTGATGAGAGAATTGAGGATTTGATTTATCCAAGTATAACCTATCATTACTCAGTGAGCAAAAACGCACGATACGTATACGTGATCGGTGAGGACCCCACGGAACTGCAATCCCAACTTTTCGTATGGGATTTACATCGAGGAACAGCACGACGTTACTCGGTCATTGACTTTCCATCTTCTTTGCAAATGAAACATTTGTATGAGATCGATGCTCTTCAAGGAATATTGGTATGCTGCAGTACTGGATGCTTTTACGTGTATGCAATTCGATTCGACCATTCTCAAGAATCAGTCCGAATTCAACAAACTCTCTTTTACCAACTGAACAACAACTCACATTTCTGGAGCTCTGCAAGAGCCTTTTCCGAAAGAGGCATCATTTTCATGTCCCAACATGATCAGATCCGAAATTTCTACGTGGCCCAGATTAGTCTGGATACACCGGTACGGTCTGTCCTTCTTACTGCACGTATGTCCGGTTTGCGTTTTTGTGGTCAACCCTGGGTTGATGGTAACTATATGTACTTATTTGAGAGTGCCTCAATAACTACCTACACGGAAATAAAATACTTAACTGGCCGTTTAGTTCGGGCCAATCTACATACCGGTGAATTGGACACTGTATGTACAAAGGCAACTGGCAATATCGGGAGCAGTTTACCAGCTATTCGACAACAACAGCAATCACTAATAGGACGAGATACAACATCACAACAAGTGACAAATCCTACTAAGCTTATTAGGCGCGTAAAACACGTGGGACGAGATGGATGGCTATGGATAATAGCGGAATTTGTGGAACTCAACGATACTCCTACTCAAGATACTGCCCGTTGTGAGGTGCTTTACGTAGTTATTGCTTATTGCTCACTTTCGTAAAAACAGTTTTTACGTCAGTTCTCTTCATCATTTGTGTGAGTATTCAATATTTGAAAGGAAACAAATAAGTAATTAAAAAAGATTTTAGTGATATGCGCTCCCAGCAGTAATGTTATTTGCTCTTGAAGAAAATTCCAGCTGTTTACGAATGCCATGAAAGACTTCTTTCTATTTTGAAGGATTGTCCTAAACCTTGAAAGGCTACCTTCTACTTTCAAGGACTTTAAACCTTGAAAGACTTCTCTGAACTTTGTTTCTAGGTTCTCACCTTTTTTTTTTTCCGGAATCTATACTCATTTTTGCTCTAATTTTGAATACGTCTGATTGTCCATTATAACTTTACCAGTGGGAAATCAAAGCTATGCTATTGAAGGATTAGCAGCTTAACTTCAGTAAATGGAAACTGATATAATCACCTGTAGCTCCACAAAAATAGCTCTTTCTATGATTTGCAAAGAAATATTTATTGTTATCGTATTAGTAGTAATGATTTTCACATCACAAAAATTGTTTTTATTTTCTCAAAAATTTTCCATTCGGATTCAATTATTCAGAATTGTTAAAATGAGATACAGAATTAATCGGCCGCCTTAAATAGTCGATTGAATAGTACGAAGAATGTTTTGTTGTTCAACAATCAGTTGATATCATGGCTGACTTTTTCTGGCCTCATATTATGAAAAAAGTTAGCAAGTTCAAGGAACTCATTACAGATATGTGTTGTGGAAATGCAAACATTTATGTGGTATCGTTTGGATTGGCTTCCTGGATGTAAATTTGACGAACTAACATTGGACATCACCCGCAACGGCACCGTGGTTATGCTTCGGAAAAAAATGTTACAGATGGCCAATCAAACACAAGTCGATTCTTTCTTATTGTTTTCCAGAAACCCGGAACCACTGCTTAAGCAAAGCTTCCGTGCTTTAATTACTTATTTCCCGACTTGGAGAAGTTTGAATTGGGAACAGTTGCATTTCTTTGGCATACCAACTCATTTACTTATTCCTTGATAATGGTAACTGGTAACTGTGCACCATATGAATATGATAATAGAAATGTTTCTAGTACTTGACTAAGTTACAATTACATCTGCAAACTTCATCTAAGTCATAAGAGAGAGGAATCAACATAACTTCTTTCCATAAAATTTCTCTTTTGCTTTCACACACATATACATATTTCCTAAAATTTGGCAGATTGACAACAAATCAAAATCGAATTTATGATAAAATCAGAACCAAAAGAAGAAAAGAACTATCCTAACTGTAGCCTATTAATTAAGATAAAAATATTTCGTCGTAACAATAAGATAAAGGAAATTCAATCGTTTTTCTAAAAGATTTTCGCGATTTCATATCATCGATTCTACCAATTCATTGAAGCTAGCAAATTTAAAATGGCCAAAATAGAAATAGAATTTGGTCTACAAATTTGAATTTGGAATCAACTGTAAAATAAAAAGCATTCATTTTTGTAAAATAAAGTACAATTTCTTCAGTTAATCCAGGAAAAATAAGGTACTGTCCAACACAATACTTCAGATTTTACCTACCAGAATTTTGAGATGACATGGCAACAAATATGTTAACGAGTTCGGAAGCAAGAGCAGCAATAGGGAAACAAAATGAAGCGATTTTTCTTAAATCACCAAAAATTGCAAATATGCATTTTCGAGAAAAGCTTGTCGAGTGGAAAATCCAAATAAAGGATGCGGAAATTTTCGTAAAAGTGTAATAATTTAAAACCTGGATCCAAATTAATTTCTTGATTCAAATTTTAACAAGAAAACAATGAAATCATCTTATAAATAGCAAAATATGATTTCGAATAAAAGTCACAAATATCTAAACGCGTAATGTTTTTATTGTGGGAGAAGAATAAATTATAATTATACAAAACAGAAGTAAAGCATTAATGACATTTTAACAAAATCAACGACTGACAGTAATGATTAAATCAATAACCGCTAGCAATTTAAATGAAAGAAATTTCAAACGATAGTGAAAGAAATGAAAAATTTATAAGTGAACTAAGTATCAATAAACAAGAATTTTATTGACGTATTTAGCAATAATTTTGAAAAGGGACGAAAATACTGGACATTATATATCACAACAATTTACCAAATAATCTCGCTTACTGATACAGATTCTTATAAGATACCGTCAATAAAAAACAAAAAAGATTTAGTAATGAGTAAACAAAGAGCATTTAAATTAAGCGTCATGAAATTACGATCAAACTTTCGTTTCAGGCCCATCATCGACATGCGTAAACTGTTTGAATGAGTCACGCAATCGTGAAAGTTGTCGAGCTATGAGCTGTCCATATACTTTACTGTACCAAATATTACTTCGTCCTCTGAAATTAAATCATAAACTGGGATAGAAAAAAATTCACCGTTAAAAATGCTAACATAATTACAAGATAAGCAAACAGTCAAATGAAACAAATCTTTGTCATACCTTAAATCAGTCCTCGTGATATAGGTGACACGGGAACGACCAGCTATTGGTTCAACGAGAAACTGTGATGATAGCACAGCAATAGAAATGCCACCCAACATTTGCGTTTCACTGGAATGTACTGAACGCTCTACCAGAACACAACCACCACGTAATTCTTTTAAATCCTTATGCCACAACCTTAACAAGTTAGAAACTAAGTTAAAGTTTAACAATGACTTGCAAATTTCCCACTTATTATCAAGTAACAACAAAAATTAGTATCTTCTTTGTAAATTGCAGTTAGTTGTACCTGACCACTGTAGCGTCACGAGTAGGATGTGATGGTGTATCATTGATAACATATTGGAAAACGTCACAATTTTCGGCGTTCAATACTGCCACTGTTCTCCAGTTGATAATTTGAAGATCCCAAACATTCCTGAATTTAAATACTCTGTACTACACTACACTTATACTTCATTAACAAATCCTTTTGTGTAAAGTAAAGTACTTGCTTCATACCACTCAGAAATTAAATTAAAATCAACAAAATAAAAGTAGGGGTTACCTTTCTCGAACAATCCTAATGAGGATCTCCCTAGGTGGTGCTTCAATGTCAACCCAAACGCGGAAGAAGCGCAATGGATGACCATCCGTCGATTTTTTGGTTGAAATTTCAACACCATCCACTGTGCCCTCAACAATCCAACCTTTCCACCGATCCCGATGTCCCTAAGAATGAATAATGCTTCAGAACTTCGACAATTGATCTTGTATACCACTTCAAAGGAAATCAAAATTAGATATTTGAGATTTAAGCAAAGTGAACATCAAAAGGCCAACTATTTACCTTTAATAGCTCTCTCGCTTTTTGTAATAAGTATGTTTTATAATTTCCATCTTGGGACAAACCAAGTTCAGTCAGAAATGGTGCATCCGGTTCAGTGCCTTTACAGTACTTGCTACCTTCGTCACGCTCCAATCTAGGACTAGTCGGAACGATAAATACTTTGGTACAGTGCTCAATCATTTGCACGAGACATTCTTGTGCAGCCCGTGACTCCTTAATTTCACGCTCTGTCGGTAATCCTGCTGCTCCAATCGTTTTGTGACGTCTAGAAAGAAGATTAGCTGTAAAAATAACATCCTGAAATAACATCAAGAATGAATCAATTATTATCTGCAGACACTAGTCTAAAGCATGAAGATCATAAATGATGTAATATGGAAATGTTAGCAACCTTGTCGGACTGATGTTACTCAAACGTGAACCACATAACTGAAATAATGACGGTGCAAAGCATACAGCCAGATTTTGCGGCGTCATCTGAAACTCAGCAAAATAATTTAAAAACTTTGACATGAAACTTGAATAATGCCTAAACTCTTCCCTCATCCAGACCAAAAGTTTTGAAAAAAAAGGATATAAAGCTATTGAAAACGGAATTTTAAAGTTGCAATAAAGTAATATAAAAATTGAATTAAGAATAAGCATAAAATTGAATGGATAATTAAGAAGATAATGAGAGGTAAAACCAACACTATTAGTTGCAGAATGTTTAGCAATATCATGAAGAAAATAAAGCAGAGTTTGTAGAGCTTCCCGATGCTCATCAGGTAACAACAAAACGGCATGCTGAAGGGCTTCTATACGCATTTCCATCGGAATATCTACAAGTGAGCAATAACTGGATGGTAAATAATTATGAAATTCTACAAAAAAGTATACGAATAATAAAATTTATATTCGAAATGTAATAATATCCAATACGTATGAAAATCCTAGCGAACGTTTCCGAATATTTGGCGGTCATCAGGGGTTCAGGCAATTCACGGAAGTACTGTTTTAAAAGATCGGCTACGTCGTGCACCTCAAATGATACCAGCGTGAATACATATAAAATGAAATGTAAAAATAAAAAAAGTAAAATCTAAATACGATAAAATTATTGCGAATTTCCTCTAAATTGACAAAAAGAATAAAGTCAGAGTTTTCTGACTCGACAGATTGATCGATCATTAAAAGATCTTGTCAACTATTTTATTTTCTCAAAATAACCTTACGCTTTTTGAAACGAATCTTAAAGAGTTGCAACTACCTGGGATGGGTCAAGTTTCCCATCTGTGAAAACTTCTGCTTCTGGTGCCACATCACAAAGCATTCGTAATTCGGTAATTCGTGAACGAACACCGCTTTTCCGGAATATCCCAACAGTATCTGGGGCTAAGATACGTAAAAAGTGCATCATTTCCAAGATAAATCGAGGTAATGCAAAACCAGAACGACTTTGGATGATTGCTAACGGTAAACCAAAGGTTGAAAGTTCTGCTGAAAATGACAGAACTCTTACTGATGACAATGAAGAAACAGTAAAACGAAATTTTTATTACAAGTTTTTTTAGAATTTCGGTTTTTTTCTACAACAATTATCGCAAACCCAAAAGCTCATATTCCGGACTCATTACTTAATAACTGTGTGATCACTTTCGGATTCTTCATCCGTTAGAGTAAAGGCTTCATTTATTCATACACTTTATCATTCAATCAAATATTATTGTAAATGGTATTTCTGGCTATACAGAAGTTCCAATACATATGTCAGCAGACTTCCACGCATGTCATCCCATCATTAAACAAAAGTACTGAGCTTACTTCCACTAGATTTACTGCTTCCATTAACAGTGTCATTGTTGCGCATTCGTCTAATAAATTTGTGTACCGCCCAACTTTTGCTCACTCTGCCACTACCATTATTATCAGCTGCAATACCAATCCTAATACCGCTTCCAGCATATGTTTCAATCAACACTGATAGCTTAAGGAATGCCAACTTGCGTATTTGTTGCTGAAAGGAAAAGTTCGGTTATTTAAAAAACAGTTGTACTGATAAAGAATTGATATAACATAAAACAGAAAAAACTCAACAAATAAAGAAAGAAAACTGGAGAAAGAGTTCGAGGATGAGACTGATTAAAATGAGAAATTCTCAAACAAACAACAAAAGGTATTGAAACGTTTAAGTGTGATGGTTAGTTAGCCAGATATAGAAAAAAAAAAAAAATAGGAAGGCATGCAGATAGATGAGCAGTTAAGTGAAAATGATATGATTTTACGGAAATCAAGAAAATCCAACTTTTAACTAACCATTTCACCTACACTCAGAGCATCTACGCAATGTGCCAAATCAGCGTCACCAATAAATGTTTCGCTGTAATCAGTAGAACAAACATCCAACGAACTGGGTGATAAATGTTTAGACTTCATTTCTGGATGATGCAACGTTGTAAACAGCAATGAGTTTCGCAGTCTTTGCGTTGTTGGCCCACTATAGTGGGAAAATTTTATTACGGGAGATATTAAAATCATTTTGAAAATGCTTAATTCAAAAACTGCGCGATCGTTCATTTATGACCATGCATCATGTGCTTGGCTACACTTGTACATCTTATTTTTGTACATTATGCATAATCCAATTTGACATTTCAACATTCAGTGCAAAAACTAACATTTAAATCTACTAATTTCTTTGGAGAATAACAAAATAAGGAAACGATAAATGAAATTATCAGCCAACCTGGGTGACCTAGAAAGACTTGAGCCAACACCAGAATCACGTCGTTCACCACTGCCTGACTTCTGTTGCCGTGAAATTAATTCATCGTCATTCCCACTACTTTCTAAACTAGAATGTGACCTTTGCGCTGACATACCTCTAACTGTGTTGAATAATGAAGAACTGCTACCACAACCAAGCCTTTTTCCACCTCGACCATCAACTTCTGCCTAAAATATTGTTAAAGCACAAACAATTATAAACGGCTATAAATTTAGCAGAAAGCATTATTGTCTCACTAAAAATCAAAACAGGAAATGAGCGGATAGTAAAAATGAAGAAATTTTATGAGCTATCACAGAAATCATAAAGTCACTATTTATCTTCTAAAAAGTTCCCTGAAAATGTGCAAAGAAATTACAATCTTAAAACCAAAACAGTAAATCCTATAAATGTTCTAAAATTCATCTGTTCGGAACTAATAATAATAATACTTATTGCAGTTGCAAATCCAGAAATCAGATATTAAATTATCTATTTCTTTCTTTTCAATAGCATAAAACAAAGACTAACTTTTAAGCGACTAGCATGATTAGAGATACTTGTATTGGAGGAGGATGATTCTGGTGATATCGCGCGATGACATGTAGTAACGGATACCGTCGCTCCTGAGGTACCAGCTCCAGCAACACTACCAGTAACTGAATCATTTGATGAGAACGCTTCCAGTTCAAACGAGGTATCATGAATATCTATGATATTATCTTCATCGTTCATAAATAATAGCTAAATTTTTAAACGAAATAAAAGTGCCAAATTAACTGAAACTGAAATCAAATGTATCTAAAAAGCCGAACAATAGTTACTCACTTTAAATAATAAAAATTACCGATTCCTTTTGGGTATGCTTCAGTTTCAATCATTAAGAAAAGTAAAGACCAAGTATTGCATATAATTGAATAAAAAATTAAAATGAATTAAATTATTGCCAACCATGCTTTCATGGTTGATGAATAATCGAAAGAAAGAGGAGACATTCCAGAAAATGGAACGTGTAGTATTTTAAAATACGAATGAAACCAAATATGGGTAAATTATGTAAAATGCAAATATATACGGTTGGAAAGATATAAAGTATATAAGTAAAGTAACAGTGAAGGAAAATACCAACCATTTGAAGGAATATGTTCATAGTAACCATCGGCATTGACAACTAGTCTAGAACGAGCATATAACTGTGCCGGTGCCAGATCTCGATCGCGGTCCAAATTCTGTTTAGGAAGACTCCTCAGTTCATCAGATTTCAGTGAATTATCAGAAAGAACATCACCCGAAAACTGCACACCGTTTCTAAAGCTTGTTTTTTTTTTTAAAAAAAAAAACTAAATACACTTAAGGAACACATCAGTTCCCCATCATTTCTTTAAAGAATTCAAATTTACATTTTATGTAAAAGATAAGTTAAAATTCTACAGATCAAAAGGATGGCAAACATTTGCCGAGTTCCATAATTACCAATTACTGCGGAAATTCTTAAAAACTTGTATAATAACTGATATATCCTTGCTGCACAATATCAGCGATAGAATGAAAGAATGATCAAGCGTACTGGAAAATATCAAAGTTCTCTTGGAGTTTATATAAATCAGGATAAAAACCTTATTAACGAAGAGAAGGTCGTGCTATTGGCACAGCAGTGCTCTGATGATGATGCTCTTTCATAATGAGCTATTCTGGAACGTCTGTCATAACAAGCCGTTGCTTCTAAATTAACCGGTCCACATCTTGGACTAGCATAATCAGTGTTGTCAGAACACAAATCCTGGGCTACTCGATCGTAAATTCGTGTTTTGTGATCGTGCTGTGATAACTCACGTACCAAAGCCCGGTCGAAAGACATATCACATGCTTTGTTACGACATAACAGTTCCTGACGTTGATGACTGCTGGTAACAGATGATCCGGTAGAATCAAGTACCATACCCATACGTCGATTACTTGCACCTAAAAAACGTGTTCTAATTCGGGAGGATGGTGAGGAAAAACAACTGTACTGTGGAGATCCCGTCTCGCAGTCAGATATCATCTGCTGATGCTGCTGTTGTTGTTGTCGCTGTTGTTGTTGTTGTTGTTGTTGCATAGTTGGTTGCAACACGGCAAATGTTACTGCAAACCACGATCATGCATTCCAGTAGTGAAAGTATATTGAACGGAACAATCATTAAAATGAAAAACCGGGGAAACTATAATGCAAATAATAAATTTCGGTAATGAAATAAAAGTTCTGCCTGCTTATCACAGCACCGTTGATAACAACCGAAAAACTGTTATACATTTATTCAAGCTAAGTATAGTAAACTAATATTAAAGATTTTACAGGAAAAAAGACGGGAATAAAAAAAAAAAAAGATTTGTTATAAAATAGATGCAATAAATGCAAACCGAATTCTTAGTGAATTTCCAGGAGCTCTACTATCAGGTGCCAAGACATTTCTCTTATCTTAATTTTCTTTTCAGTGACAAAAATAATTACTCTCAATAAATTTTGTAATTAATATTGAAAAGTGAAGAAACAACGAAAGTTTTTAGAAGAGTTATATATATATATATATATATATATATATATAAATAACGAAATAGATGATAATTTTGTTTGCACAGAAGGGAAACGGGAAAAAAATAACACAGAAGGGAAACGGGAAAAAAAGATCACCAGTAATAGTCAAGCCTCGCCGAAACTTAAATTAGAAAAAACCAAGTTATATCAGAATCATTCCATAACCTCATAGTTCATTATACTAGTGCAAAGCAAAAATAAATTTAAATTCACATGAAATTTGAGAAGGTTAATTCGAAGAAGTACCTCCATCAGATGGACGATCGTCCGCTGCTGTAGCAGCAGTACGGCGACGAAACTGATTCAGCATTTGTGGTGTGACAGCCTGTGATGAGAGGATACTGGATAAGCCATCAGGGAACATACGCATAGTCCGTGGACTGGCCGAGAAGTGCGAGACAAGCACCGGATCACCAATTACTAAATCTCTACTAGCCACATTTGAAACAGCTTTTGATAGTGATGACGATGTCGTGGCTGATGAGAGAGATGAATGCGAAACTCTGCTTGCCATGCGAAATTCTGAATCAGCCACCGAAGAATCACGCTGTCGGCGACGTCTTAAACACGATTATTATGATAGTTGTAGAGCTGATGAACTAATTCCATTCAAAATCATTACTGTTATTACCATAAGCAGTTACTGTTCCTATTATTTCTTTATTATTATTAATATTATTATATTATGATTCTGAGTAGTTACTAACAGTGACAATCAGGTCACGATAATGATATGGTTAAAAAACTGATTTATGTTCCTGTTATATCGTAACAAGAATTTGCAAGCAATATGGGACTTTGTCAAAACCAACAAATTGACAAATGAAATTTCATAAATTCTTTTTGAAACTTTCTTTAAGCAAATCAAAATGTACTATAAGTTTTCCTTATTGGTAATAATTCTGAATAAATTATTGATGAATTTTTAAGATCCAATATATTCCTCTCAAATCCTCTGAGAACTCTTGCAAAGTTATTATTTGGCGGAAATTCTCATTAGAATGAATGTAATAAGAGAACTGACACAAATGCATGTTTAGAAGACAGCTTTTTGTCAAAACTGTCTGCTTCGTACAATTGTTCATGGTCGGAGAGATTCAAAAATATTGAAATCAAAAAAACACTTCAAGGATTATGCAAAAGGGAAGAAGAAACATCAACCTGGTTTTTTTCTGAATTCAGTAAACTCAGCCCAAAAAATTGCAAACATTTAGAACAAAAATAAGTAATTATCTAAATAACGTAACTACAAATATATCAAACACTTATTAAATTATTTATATGATTACAATATGGAAACGGAAATACCTGCTGGATGATCGTATATCCATACGTTTTATTAGCGCTCGTGCACGTTCCTTCAGTCTTTCACTTTGAGACCGCTGCAAATTTACTGTCGCCATTGTTGGTGATGATGAACTGACTGCGGGACTAAATGAAAGGATGGGACTATAAATATTAAAGAAGACTGAAGAATCTTCACATTGAGAATGTTCGGAGAAGTAACTGAGGACTCATCCATGTCAGAAGGAAGATGTTAGAACAAAAGTTGCATTTGAGAGCAGAAATTTGGGGACTTGAAGACATTGTAAAATTGTAAAATTCTTACTTTGTTCAAAATATCTTGCATTAAAACAAATCATATTCTAAAAATTTCTAAATATACCAATTCCGATCATTTCTGGCAATAACTGGATTGGTAGTAACATCGTGCTGATTTTTCCTGTCATAAACAACATCGCTGAAACATGAGGCGCCATCCGGTTGTCTTCTTGGATTCTGTCCATAACCGAATGACATTCGCAATGCCTCGTCAAGCTCAGCACTGGAAACCGCTTCCTCGCTGGACCGCCAAATATTACCACCAGTGTCTATGTATGAATTATTTAATTACATAATACGTTTCACGAATTCCCTTTTTCAATCTCATTGATTTCCTGATTAATTACCCATCAAAAAGCTGATCAAAAAACTGAAAGTAATCCTGAAGCAAAGTAAAAGATTGTGAAAGCAGTTTTTTTATACAATTTAAAGTGAAAATGAACATACATATATACATATATAATTCTAAAATTTCCAAATGGATAGACGAAGCTTACCACTGAATGTAACAGCAGTATCATCATCTTGGACAATCCTAGACCAGGTTTGAGAATTACGTTGATATTTCCACTTATTTGAAATAGCCACCTAAAATGACTCATTTCTTCGAAATTGTTTACAGACTTTAGATCCCTAAGAATTATTAATAAGACGTTAGATGATCAGTTGTTTTCCAATTCTAATTATATCTGCCATCATTTGTCAAGTATGAACACACGGATACAAAGGGACAGTAATATTGTCAATGCTTTGAGCGCTCAAAAGTTTCTTAATTTTGATTTCAACTTGATTAGAAAGTTATTTAAAAACTACTTATTATAAAGTAATTACAAACAGATATATGGATAAACACAAAATGGAGAGATTCAATAGATGGCCACTGAAATTTGGGAGAAAAAACTGAGCCATTGCAATACTGCTAATACTTTGAGTACATATAAGTTTTTTAATTTTGATCCAAACCTGATCATCATCATCATCATCATCATAATTGATGACTGTCATATCATCATCAATATCTGGTTCCAGCGGATTAATATCAAACCGTTCCGGCTGAAATAAGCACATATAACTAAAAACGTCTCAAATTTTCAACCCTTATTTGCGTGCGAATAATATTTGTAAATCACTAAGTTCTACTTGCAATATAATTTTCAAAGATTTCAACATACTGCAGATCTACCCTCTATTGAATACTATTTACTTTCTCAATTAATTAATGAACGCCCACTAAATGATGATTAACCGAAAAGTACTATTATTTACAACCTATTTTAATAGACCCAAAAAGCTGGATATAATAATTGACAACAGTACATGTTTCCTAAGTACTACATTCTCGACTTTCATAATAGCACATCGATTGAGCGCATTGAGACGGCGGAATAGAGCTCGTAGTGAATCGTCGTCCAAAAATTCATGATCTCGTTTTACTGAACGAATATCTATTGGAAATCGTTGTTCTATAATTCCAAATTTTTTAATTTTTAGAAAAATTTGATTAGCGAATTTAAAATGCTTATTAATTGCTGCAAATATGCATTTTCCGCAACTTTACTTATAAAATTATGTTAAAACATAGCCGTTCAAAACAGTATACGAATGAACGATATTAAAAATGGCAGCAATTTAACAATGTTCCAAAATTTTAAATCGACACAATTTTATTTTCCTTGATTTTTTGGAAAATTTATTTACACCTTCATAAAGTCGTGCATATTGAGGAAAGCCAGCATCACGCAACCAGCGAACACATTCAACTGCTTCTTCTTCTGAAAATTACTTCAAATTGAATATAGACAAACAGTGTTAACAAACCAGTGTTGATACCCCCAAAACACTCCGGGATAACGAATATTTAGTGGATGAGAAAACTCGTTTATTCAATAGACAAGCAGCGCAACGAAGATTCTTACTTTGTATTCCATAGCAAAAAAAAAAAAGGTTAAAATAGTTCTAAAGTGAGAAGTAATTTTATGAACATGATATTCTAAAATTTTAAGTTCGATAAATATCCTTAATAATAATAGTCTCAAAAAAGCGTAGTAAGAGGACGAGAATAAAGCTAAGATCAATTTCATAAAATGTTATAATAACATAACATCATATAAGTAGCTTATCAATAATAGATCTAATTGTATGACAGACATACCATGAAATGAAAACTGTTGGAAAAAATAAGAAAAAATTCTGAATCATACCATTATTTTATAAAAAAACTTTACTTTAATAAAATATAAAAATTAGTAATTTTACACCGTGCATGCCAAAAAACAGGAAGAAATTATTCTTTCTAACTGACATTAATTTAAAAACATACGCACAAGCAAAATTCACAAATCAAAATCCTACTATTTACCAGTAAAAAAGCATTCATCCCATAGCAGCTTTTTCAAGAATGTTAGTTTTGTCAATGTTGAAGCTGTTTACGTCAATTATCAAAAATATAGGCTAAATACTTCAAGTATGTGTATGGGTAGTTTTTAATAAAATTTTAAGATAAGAAGAGAAAATCAGTATATTTTTATAATACACGACCAAAGTTTCAAATAAAAGTAAATAAATTTAATGGAAATAAAATCTCAAAAATGCAAAATTCTCTAGGTTAGTCATGCAAGAAAAGCAAAGAAGAAATGAGTGTAATATAAATATGAATGAAAATTATTCGTCTTATTCGAGGAATTGTAAAATGATAAAATGAAAAAGGAAAATAGGAACCGGAAAAAGCGGTATCTGAAAGATAAGATAGAAGTAAAAGTGGATCTCTAAAGAGGAAACCAACATGATCTAACTGCGAGTATCACATGACGAAGAAGGAAAACATTTCTTCATTTCTTTTAAAGATTTATTGAGACGTATCATACATGCACCACAAATATTCTATTTGTAAAACTTGTTACTGAAAGATGAATCGGAGAAGTTGTCCAAATGATAAAACATAACCATACTATCAAGGAAATACATGAGGAAAATCGAAAATTATACAAACATTTCAATTATTTAAAAGTTACTTCAAAATGAAACATAAAATATTTTTAAAGCTAAGCAGTCAATTACTAATCAGCAGCCTAGGATTTGTTATAATAAAGACCTTTTATAAATGTAACTTGAGTAATAATTTATCGTGAATATGAACATGGGTTAAACAAAATATTAATCTTAAGTTCCCGCTGAGGCTGATGCGTCCAGTTATACTCCAAATAATGATCGAAGTGCTCTGTTAGTTTTTATTGAAGTCATAATAAGGTTCCCAACAAATCTCTTGAATAACAAAATTTAAAAACTGAAGAGATAAAGTAGACAAACAAAAGTCTTATGAAAAGTTTAAATGTACTTCACCTCAAATTGGAATTTTTGTTTAAAAAGAAATTAAATTAGATAAGGTGAAATATGAGACGAAAAGTGGAAGAAGGAAGTATTTAACTAAGCATAGCGTATAATACATCCATTCCATATCATCTAGATGATTTATGAAATAACTTTTTATTTCTTTCCCTTGCCGACTGTACGGATCTATAAATTCCATATAAAATTGCACAAGTGGAAAAAAAGTGGAACAGAATTCATCTTATTAAAGTAAACTCATCTAACAAATATCACAACTGAATTTCCTAGCAATGCCACAAGTGTTGACCTGAAATTCCTGAAGTTCAGTTAAGATTGTGACTGCTTAAACTGCTTCTGAAAAGAACTAAATTATGTCTAAATTAATGCCATTGAGAGCGCCACAGCAGCTGTTTTTGAAGATAGAGTTTATAACAAACAAATGTGGCTTGATTGAAGTGTTCACCGGAAAAATCAAAATCAACAAGCATTGAGAAATAATCGAAGAGAAAGAAAGAAAGAGAGGGAGAGAAAGAAAGAAAAGGAGTTAATGGTACATCTGTTTCTAATTAAATTTTTATTTAGTGTTCCATTGATGTCCTCTAAAATTTTTGTGACGTAAAAAAATTGTGCAACGAATGCCTCGATGATACAGATGAAATGGTTTACATCAGACATTAGCACGTTCTAAGGAGACAGCTTAATGTTTTAAGTCAAATTATACTTTACGGATCCTTAAATTACAGATGCTATGCATTCCTTCATTTTCTTTTCAGAAAGCTGATTGGACTGATTTCAAATAAAACAGGAGCAGGAAAGTGTTACAAATCTACAATTAATTAGTAGGAATTTAGAACATAATCTTAAAACAGGAAAAAATGCTAAAGTCTGAAAAGCAGAGAGAAAGAGAACAAAGATCGCCCTAACAATGATACATGAAAAAAAGTTTTGCAGGATAGTTTCATAACAGCGTAGAAATTTCTTCAAAGGAATGTATTACAGAAGATAGACGAACTGCTTCTATCTTCTACCTTCTCTCAATTTGTTAATGAAATTTAGTTTTAATTTTATTTCATCTTTTTTTAACTTCATTTTATCTTTTTTAAATTCTCACAAATATTGACCATGACTCGACCGTAACCCAATAGACAAAACAAAACAAAACTGGTAACACAACCGATTAATAAAAAATATAAAGTATCAAAAATCTACCAGAACAAAAAAACAAACACTAAAAAATACAATAAGACAAAATTCGGTCACTCATACAGAAAGGCGAAATTAATATATGCCGCGCAAACAAGCAATACATTCAACAAGTTTTTTGAAAATTTTAAAAACTCACCGACTTTCTGCTTCTTCAGCGCATATAATTCATCGCTCGTCTGCAAATGAAGCAAAAATATAACATCTAAAGTTCAATTTTATGAAATAAAAGTAATATTGCAAAGATAAACTTTCTGATGATTTCATAAAGTTAATACTCCATACGGTTTTCATTTCAGTAAATTTAAGATATTTCTCTTAACGGACCTGTTCAGTAAAATCAACATCAAGTTCTTCACAGCTTTCGGCTCGTTTCGGAACACGTCCAGCACTGAAGGCAAACAAATCAGATGCTAGCACCACCGATAAAGTTTTCTTTTCCGTATCCAAACGAGGAGAAGGCGGTGGTGGTGGACGAACTTCCTTTCCATCCATGTCCATTTCAAATGATGAATCTATCTCTATCTATAAAAATATCATTAACTAATTTAATGCAGTAGATACTTAAAGCGTTACAGTTAATAGAATCATAATTAATTACCTGAGCCAACTGAGATCTAGTTTTATTTGGCTGTTGCTTCCTGCACTTACTGCTATGATGAAAGCCGATAGCAGTTGGAGCACCTGGAGTCATCGGGGAACTCTCGCTATCAGCTAAGCCAGAGCTAACACTAATATCGCGCTGAGAAATAGCATTGTCATCCGGTGATGCTGAATTGTCCGGAATTTTTGGGTCATGAGATAAGATAGTACCATGACTCAATTTTGTCGATATTGGTGCTGGGTTTGCTGCTAAAATTAACTAATAACTTTCAGTTCAGGTAAACTTTTGCAGTGCATAGAGATAAGCAAATAGTTTGTGACTTCTGTTCTTTAAAACTAACTAAATTTATAAGCGATCCAAGTCAGATTAAAAAGAAAGTTTAGTAACAAAAAAACTATTAGCGATTACAGTTCAAGAAATCTTGGAGAACCAAATTTTCAAAGCCAGTTGAACACGGTATTTTTATCATCATCTTCTGATTATCCTCTTCGTTCATCAGTTGACTGATTTACTTTCAGAAATTAATTTCTCCAAACCAAAGCACATGTTAGTAAGATTCAAAAATACCAAGCAAATTAACCGGGGAGATAGACATAAGTTTTACTCGTACTCGAGTAAAACAATTTCATTTCCAATTTATGGCAAACTGGAAGAACTCAATTCAACAAACCGTTGTTGTTATCTTTTCCAGATAACTGAAGTGAAATATTAGAGGTGGTGATTGCAGTAGCATTGACATTTGCTAACAGTGATGCCTGAGGTGTTGTAATTTGTTTAATTCCATGAGATACGTTGTCATATATGCTACCGTTCATTGATCCCTGTGAATTACCTTTGCCAACATATGTATGTTGAGTAGCCAAGCTAATGGTACCACTACCACTACCATTATTATTACCCGTGGATGATGAAAAATGTCGGAAGAATTCTGCAATGCAAAAGTCCGTTTTAATTTTATTAATTTTTTTCTCCATTTTTAATCGAAATTAGATTAAAAACGGAGAAGAAACAATTCACCGAACTATTAGCTTTAAAAAAGAGTTGAAAATAATTTTCAACTCTTTTTTAAAATTTAATATAATAAGAAATTTTTTATACTGAAGAGAAAATGCATTTAAAGAAAATAAAAGACTTTTTCGCAGGAAGCAATTTTTGTAAGAGAATAATTGATTTTATAAAGTATTGAAGAATTCATAACAAATAAATACAATCCTTTTTCTCCTTTTTAGTTCATCGAAATTGATTGCTAAAGAAATGAAATGAGATTCGTAATTTTTAATTATTTGGATTTTAGCTTGAAAAATAATGATACATTCCATCCATCTCTTATTATCCAGCTTCAAATTCATACTTAAGATATGTAATGAAATTAAATTTAAAAACAAAACATGACTGATCAATTAGAAATTGTAAAAGAAATTATTAACCTCGAAGATTTTGTAGGAATCGAATCATCACAAAGAAAAAGTAGAAAGCGTTATGTAGGAGGAAAAATGAACCACTAGAATAGGGGTGATAATGATGACAAAGCAAGCAAACAACGGCAAGAGACATAACTATATCAGTGTATCATAAGCAATCACATCAGCAGTGTTGCTTATGATTACAATACAGAAATATGATTAGTAGTAATCACAGTGAAGGGAAGTGAAGTGGAGACAAATGTGATATTTTAGAATTGTCAACTTGTTATACCGCGGCCTCAGTCAAAAAGTGACAAAAGACAGATTCGATTTTAATTTCAATAAAAATATTTAAAAGATCTATTATGTTTAAAAAAGCAAAAAAAAAAAAAAAAAATGAAAAAGCAAGATGAAATTTTGACAGAACTCAGTTCGAAGCTGTTTTTGAAACTCTCAGGGCGTGAATCTCAAAATATTTCAATTTGTTGCCGCTTCCGAGGCTATTTAGTGCCTTAATTCGCCTAAATTGAAAATTTTTGAAATCCTTTATATCAATTTTTATTGAAGTATCAATTCTTATTGTCTGAAAGAGGGAATGCAAAGAATATATCGAATGACCATTAGCTGTCAATAAACAAACGATTCAACACCCACTATAAATCATTCCTATGTCTACCTTTGTCTGAATGCAAATGAATGAATGATGGACTACTTACCGAAAAAAGAATAAGAAATAAAAACAAGTATATGAGGAATGAAACAAAAGATGGGAATTTGTTGTCGCTTCGGTAATTTTTAAGAATTCCAATAAAAATTCTTTTTTTTTTTTTCAAATGTAAAAATCAATCCCAAAAGCTTTTCTTTCATTCCGAAATTGGATGGAAATATTTGTTTTATAGCATGGTTTCGTCAGCAAAAAGAAAATTCTGCAAAAAAGAATAAAAAGAGAAATTTTAAGTAATTGTAGTGTCGCAAAGAATAATTTATAAATTTTATTTCTTTATTATGAATAAATGACTATCAACATATCTGTAACTAGAGATAAAATGAGCCTTGAAAAGATTGCACAATGAAAATAAGCCTTCAAGTCTTAACTAAAATAAAACAAACAATTACAAATGATGCAAACCATTTTGATTATTCGTCGATGGCATCCTATTTCTGGAAATATCGGATGAAATTTCAAGTGACAAAACTGAATCATTATTTCGAATATCGTTTGCATGCTGCAACAATAAACGAAAAATCCTACCACACTTGAAATGCATCAAATTTGCTACTATTTATCAATGTTAAAAAAAAAAAAAACCTTTGTAAGATTTTCACTGATAACAGGATAATGCAATACTCGATTTGAAACAACATTCAAATCCTCGGCATATTCCAACAACATTGCTATACTTTCATCAATATCTTCCGATGATCTGCAAGATAAATTATACCTTGTGACGTAAATTTCCAAATCAGAGGAATTATCTTAATACTGCACCTGATATTCTCGGCTCTGTAGATTAAAGAATACGATAGATATAAGTAAATGCCTATCATTTTTTCAATTTCTGTGCAACAGGAAACATACTGTGTCTTCTTTTCCTCGAGCAGACTATTACGTGCTTCCATACTTTTGCGCAACATTCCTTGAATTTCTCTGTCAGTGATACGAGAAGGTTCCGTCTGTATTAAAATATTGTCAAGATGAGAATGATAGTTATGCAAACTGTGTGCCCATAGATTTTGTTTACGTCAAAAATTTTATTTATTTACTTATAATATTTTTATATTTTTATTTCATGGAGAATAAAACTATAATCACCTGTCTATACAAATTAATTTGCACAGAATAAATAACTAAAGTTGCAAACGGAACTAGTGAAGTAAGTACTTACAATTCGATTCAGTAAAGAATATTCAGGGTCCTCGGGAGTTCCCGGAGACTCTGTTGAAGCAGTGACCAGTTCTTCACTGTACTGATCCTCAATGGATGATTCGTTGATCCAGTCGAAGGAACTAGATCTGGATAATGAATAAGGACTCGTCTGAGTACCAATTTCCTGCAAAAAATTTTTTCCTTTGAAAGTATAAATTCGACACGAATATCTGCCACTTATCTACGAATCAACAAATTGTTTTACTGTTTGAAAGTACATAAATTCCCAAATCACTGGAAAGAAAAAGTCAATTCAAATATTTAAGTAACTAGAGGAAACGTTACCTTTTGTTCAATAGAAAGGAAAATGTTTCTTGAAAAGTGGAATTTCAATTAACAGTTTTCAAGTTTTTACACTTCAAATAGACAAACTTCTTTTCTTTTTTCTTTTTTTTAAGCTACTATCTTGCAGCAATTAATCCTTGAGATCATTCAAAGGTAACTGAATTAGGAGGAATAACAATTTTCAGTTTCATTTACTAGACTGTATTTCGAATTTGTGAAGAAAATGTGATGAGTGTAGTTCACAGGCATAGGTTAATACAATTTGCAAAACCTGACATTCATAGCAGCGGATAATTCTTGTGTTATCCAATAAAAAAAAAACTTAAAATGAAATTGTATGTTACTGGCGTAGATGTAAAGACGTGTGCATGCGCAACTCTATACAACTGCTTATGCATGTGCGTGCAGCAGGTATGGATTTACAATACTGTAGTGACTGTAGTACTTTGTATCAATGACGTGTTCGATATGTAAAAGTTGGTCAGAAGATACTGTAAAACTCATGAGACTCAAAATAAAAAAGGATTGCAAAATATAGCTAAGTTCAAAGATAGAACTCAACAATTTATTTTGCAACACTGTGCAACCACGAAAAGTTGTTTGGCAACGAGAATGAAAGTTTGGCGGTGCACAATTAGCAAAATGATCCAAAGCATAGAGTTAACTTTTAAATCTGAATTTAAATTAACCAATCAATGTTTTCCTCCAGCATCGCTTGAAGTAATAAAATAGGAATAAAAACTGTCGCAAACTGATTTATGCGCGAATTACCAATAAAAACAAATAAACTAAACATATGTGTTATATATAATATGACGATATAAACTGACGAGGACAAAAAAGGATAGCGAAACAGCTGCCAAATTAAAATTATTCGTGCCTTTCAATCCCAAGAAATAGTTTTGTCTTTTTCGAAGGCTTGAATTAAACATTTTAGATTAATCTCATTAATCTCAGCTCACTCTCATCTTATTTTTTATATGCTTTACTTGAACACTGCTATTATAATCTCATAGTAAAGTTATGAGGCATATTCATATTTTATTTGAACTTAAGACGAAACCATTTTCTTCCGCACATTTATAAAAATAAACAAAAGAAATGCACTTGCCAAACTAATAAACAAAGGAATAAATAACATCGATGAAATGAGGAAATAATGAAGAAATAAAAGAAAAATAAAAGTGTCAGTTTGTTCAAATGAAGACATAATATTACTGAAACTTCAAAAATATTCTCAAATTAAATTTTATCATTTGTGCCAAAGTATCGAGAGGTTTTCTTTCTTTTAAATTGTTTCTCGCAGAATAATTATTGCGCAGATTTCACATTAAAAAATGATATAAGCCATTCTTTTCTCAACCATTACTCATTTTAAGCTCAAAGTGATGAAAAAAAAAGTTAAAAATGTGAATGATAATGGAGTACCTGTCGTCCAGAAGCAGTTGTAGTGGTAGTAGTTATAGATGGCTGTTCTTGTTGAAACTTTTTATTACTGACATTCAATGAATTAGGTTTATCCGGTGTCTGAAAATGTGTCTCTTCCGCTGCTCGTATTAGTGACGCAACGATGCCGTGTACCGATTTACTGCTTCCTTCAATGTTTTCACTTGAATCTCTACTTAAATATACTGGAGTTGCAACTAAAGTTGCCGCTTTATCAACTGGTTGTTGAACAGCTGTTAACGACGAATTTGAAGAGATGCTATTATTTACTTCTTTGGTGTCATCAACAATATCATCAGATGTTTCCAACTTCTGTGAACGACATTGAGCCTAAAAATCAGCCATCTTTATAACAATTTAGAGCAAATTAACTTCTAGAAAAAGCTCTTTCAGAAGAGAATACTTAACATGAGGAAATTTTTAAGAATTATAACGGAAGGATTTATGTATTATATGCTTTATTTTTACTCTATTATTGGACGTGAAATTAAAATTACTAACATGAAGAATTTCCTTGAATATGTTTTGATCATATGAATGTGATCGATAAAAAAAAATCGAAATAATATTAGACAATTTTTCTGGGATTTCTTCAAGCAATTATAAATCAAAATAGTGTGATGATTGGAGCAGGAAATCAAAAAAAGTTGATTTATGGATTATATTTCGGCAGCGCTACTTCAATCGCTGGTAGTTTGAAAAAAGTAAGCCAACATAAAGCATGCAACGTCATAGTTATATAACTTAATAATTAGTAAAACGAAATTAAAATAAACAATACAAGTTAGTGAGTGAGAAATAAATCATCATTTAGCTGATAAATACAAAATAATAAGCTTCAATTATTGCGATGAGGAAAAAATCAGTGAATGTAAGAAAAATGATTCGATCACTGACTAGAAAGAGAAAGAAGAAATTTTAAAAAATGAAGATTAAATGTCACTTCTTGTCATCATTCAAACGTAAAAAGATAATTTTACACTACATGGAAAGGCACTTAAGTAAAAACAAAGGTCACTGAATGACTGGATACTGAAAAGGAAGACCTCAGTTAAATGAAAATGCAGAAAAGTATATTTATCTGCACTCAGCAATGCTTACGGTAATCTCGATATCCATGTTTATATCTCATCTACTGACGAAGTAACGTACAACAGTATGCTTATGAGATGAATCTATCCACTGATGTTAGAAACTAAGCATAAGTAATAATAGTAGCAATGTACCGTTGATGATGGAATAGACGATGGTATTGACGACGTGGATGAAAATATACCGGTCACCGTGAACATCATCTTAGCCACTCATTTAAAAGAGCTGAGCTGATCATCTTCGCTTGATATTTTTTGATAATTTCTCTTTTTTATCAAATATCAACTTCCTTGGTTCAAGTTCATTATTTTGATCACTGTAAAACTACTAAATCTCAGTAGTGCGTGGTAGTACTGCAGCATACTTAATAATAACATAAAATATAGCATGATAATGTAGAAGCAAATGAAAATAAATTTGTAATCAGAAAAAGTTCAGGGGTTAGGAAATTGGAGATAATGAAGTAATCACCTAACTTCCTTTTTACAATGAATTCTTTTCTTCTCAAACAATTAATTCCTTAAAAGGTAGTTAACGGACTGTTGCGCAAAACCTCACGATCAACGAAAAATTAAAACTGTGCATTGATCTGAGCGCATGGTTCAATTTACTGGCAACCATTAAAGGAGACAGAAATGATTAGTTTACTGTAGATTCAATGCGAAAGAAAGTTGAGAGGGAGGAGCAAACACATCTTGAAAAGTATCTTTTGTAAATGGAACAAAATGTTCTAATTGAAGGTTGTCAAATTATCTACTGAAATTAAAAAAAGATAAGGGACAGTTGAAAAGACACAGAAAACCATCTCTGAATTCATCACCTATGCAATCTTCTCCCGAGATTCAACTGTAAATGAATATAACATATGTTGATAAGATGGAGAAAATTCGCTGACTAATTTAGTACTGATAAAATCCCATAAAATTGAAATTATGTTAGCTATTATAAAAACCGTTTACATATGAGATAAAGAAAACTTAAGGTTGTATTCCACCGCAAATTATTAATACTAACTCACTTAATTCAAATGGCAGTAAACTCAGAAACTACAATAAACTAACAGAATTTTCCACAAACGGATTGACTCATATAAACGATTTATCGCACTTCCGGCCGCAAAACTTAAAAGTGTCAAATCATTTCATCTCTTTCTCTGATGACAATTTATCGTTTGAAAGTGAATATGAAATATACACATATATGCATTTCGTTTGTAGATAAAGAAATACCGCTATCAATAAATTTGTCAATTTCCGAGTGTTATATTTAAAAGTGATGTGTATGGATCACAGGACATGACTTGGCAAATGTAATAGAGAAATTAACTCAGTTAATGGTAAAGTTGGATGAGATTACAAAGTGGAAATATACAAGTGTTAGTCGTGACAGCCATCAAACAAGAATGACATGTGACAAGAACTTGCCAGAAAGAGTAGCAATGCTGGTGACTGTCAACCCATTCATGTAATGCATACCTGTTATATCGATACGTATTACACACAACCGATGCATGATAATCTCTGCTCATTAATTGGGATTTAGGTTTACATTAATCTATTAAATTTCTCATCAAGACAAGAGCGCAGGAAAGAGGGTAGAATAAAAATGAACGTATCTTTTGGCAACAAAAGTTTTGAAATTGACAGAATAGAAAAAATCGTCAAACAACAATACAAATTTCCTACAGCTCGAATAATATTTTGAAAAAAATAAAGTCAATTCTTCGTCACTAGCATCGATTCTATACCTTTTATCGGCTCTATAAATAACAAAGTAATATGTCTTCAATCTTTTAGGTATTTTCTATCCGATTTTGAAATAATCTCTCATTACTGTCTCTCCCGAGAATCAAACGATCAGATGTTCATGTCCATAACATATGCTACTCAATTACATTCCTTCTAATTTTTGTAGCATACAAAAGATTCTTGTCTAGCGATTTGAAAGTAACAAAGAAAATGAAATACACGCCCTTCAAAAGACTACTTGAATGATTAATAAATAGTGAGACGTAAATAATAAAAGAGGAGAAGTGGAAAGGATGATGAAGGATAGATAAACAACACACATACACATACAAACATACATACGCATATACATACATCGACAAATGCATACATACATACATACACACAGACACACACACACACATACATACGTAGATGAGTAAACAATGAAGTGCCACCAGTTGAAGAGTCTCGGAAGTAGTACCCTCTATCTTGTCATCTCATATCAGAACACGATTGAGCAGCACACTGACAGTGGTCGAGTGGATACTGGAGATGGACGAATGGATGACCGATTACTTAAGTGACAATACGTTTAGTGCTTGAAAGCGAGACGCAGCTGCTTGAAAGCCTATCGATAACAAATGCTTTAAACATTTCTCACACGTTGCAATGTCTACTTTATGGTGACAGTGAAGTGAGACAGTAAATTCTCTTCTTATTAACGGTCAACCTAAAAGCTATGAGAATGATAAATGAAATGAAATTCCATAAGAATTTACTCGTCAAAGTTCTTCCACTTTTGTCAAACTGAATTCAGACTTGTTTCAACACTGCTAACATTAACAATTCTACCATTAATCCAATTTTTAGCGGCCATTTTATATTCCTTGAAAATTCATCTTGTGAAAAGGCTAAGCAGTCGAAAGATTGAAAGCTTAGAAGGATTTGTCTCCTCTGCTAAAATAATTATAAATAAAAAAATCAGCGAACTGTAAAAAAAAAAAGTAGAACTTAAACTTGGGAAAAGTTAACAAAATTATTGATCCCAAAACCTCTTTTACAACCTTTTGATTTGGAAATTAAGATGGATTTTTAATTTCGAGGAATAAAGCTTATGTCTCCGATTTTCCGATTTTTGAGTGCGAATGATCTACAGCAAGAGTGCTTAAAATTAAACACTCTACCAGTTCTGGTCGATTTCCAAAAGGAAGTACCGAATGAAATTAAAGTAGCAATTAAATGGAAAAAATGTATGAATGGAGATAAACAAATTTAACTTTACCATCGATTTAATTCCTATGCTTTTATTATTTATCACAAGAAATACGCCATAGCTAAAAGATATAAAAGAAAAATAGTATTTCAAATGAATGCAACATCGATTTATAGTTTTTTTTTTTCTTTTAACTCCAATTTTTTTTTCTCATTTAAACAAAAATTATCGGACAATGAATGTGAATTCAATAGAGATCATAAATGACTTCATTTGAATGCAAAATAAATAGAATTGTGAAATTTAAAGAGTGTAAGGAAAAGGAAGAACAGAATGTCATCCTTTATATCAACAAAACAAACAGATTCCCCGAAGGGGACCATTCTGGTGGTGGATAATGTTAAGAACAAAAAAAAAAACAATCACTCTCTTCTTCATCATTCTCTTCCTATTTCAATCTTTTTTAAAAAAGGGAAGGGACGAATGTTTGTTATTACATAAAGTGATCAATTGCAAAGCTTTTTTCATTCCATTTTTCGTCGAAGATCGGAAGAAGAAAGTTCACTCGACAAATTCCTTTTTTATTCATTTGGTTTATTTCCAAATTTTCACTGTACCTATTATTTTCATATTTTTAAATTCAAAAAAAAAAAAAAAAAAAATCATTTTGATGTGAGTCATTTTTGCCTTCTTTTTTTCGATCTTTTCTTGAGAAGAGGGTTTGAGAAAATTGGAAAAAAAAATGGTAAAATTAACGATAACAGGAAAAATTTAATAACAATCAGTTATTTAGAAGTGGCCTATAAATACAAAAAAATTATTTGCTTCCTCATTTTTTACACTGATTTAATACTCTAAGTAAAGATGTTCTGAGATCGAGGAAGAATTTCATCTGAACTGAAAGAAACGTTGGAATATAAATGCCTTCCTCATATATTCCTGAAGCTCTCAGAAACGAATGTTATACGTGATGGAAAGTAGTGTATAGAAGCAGTGTATCTGATATAGATTAATTGCTAACAAAATTAAAATTGGCCGTCGATTCATGACATGAATGGTCTAGTGGTAATAGTAACATGATAAACATGTGACAAACAATACAGGGGAGGTGGAAAGGAGGTCCTTGCCTGCTGTTAAGCAACAACACCTTATGATAGCAGCAACTGCTAACTTTAGTTGGAGAGGAGAGACGTCATGTCTTAGCGTCCATTTGATAGGAAGAGTCTCTCTCTTTATGAAAATTACAAATAGCACAAATAATTAAATTGAACATATGCTGACTGCATAAATAAACTACAGCAAAATAGTCAAGGTCACTTTTGAGAAGTGGAATGGAGCGATATGCAAATTACATCATAGCTTAATTAATTCTAACTGTAGCAAGCTAATAAAATGCTTCATTATACTCTTAATGGAATGGTAAATTTAACAACGTCTGAATTAAAGGACTGTTAAAGAAAACAAAGATTTGTCACTCTGTGAAAGAACACAATAATGACTCATTACTCCAACTTTCTTTCTTGAAATCATAGTAACATTCACATTTCAAAACAGATTATGTTGCAGTCGGTCGTCTAAAGTCATCTTTAGTAATGCATTTTGCACAAACTTCATAAAAGTACGCAAAGGGATAATACAGACCGATAATTGTCGTAAGAAAAAATAAAAAATACATATTAAAAAACATCGAGATTAATTCATCTGCTCTTAAACTTTTAGAATATGTTACATTAGACCTTAAGCTGGGATAAAGTTCATTGATGTTTAATCCCGAAAAAGCTCGGAGCAAATTAGAAATAATTACAGGGATGGAAATGAATTCTCGAGAACCTTGATAATAATCTGATGATGAAATCTTATGATTCACCTTTCAGTAAAATTCACTTTATTGCACTAAGGAAGAGAGAGTAAGGCAGCACTGATAAGGAAAGAAAATAGCATTGAACAGAATTAACTAGAGAATTCGAGAAAAGTGTCGTAGTAAGATCGAGTATTTTGAAAGCTTTAAGAAACCTTAAGAAATTTAATACTATCTGGAGAAGTATTCTGAAAGTAGTTCGACCTGGAATTAATGAGGTGAAAAAATTCATGTGTAATGTATTGAGAAAAAAAAAAAGGATAGCATAGAAGAGAAGCTATGACATAATTGGCATAAGTTTTTCCTGCTGAAATTGAGTGGCTGTGACAACTCTACATGTCAAAATGACATTTAATTACCATTAAAAACAACCAAAAAAAAAAAAAAAAAAAAAAACAGTGTCAAACAAAAAGCCCAAACTTCAAATAACAGAAATAAAAAAATTGAAAAAACAGCAACTTCTAAACCTTCTTCCACTACAACAGACAACAAAATAACCATCAGAAAAATACCAAAAAATGGCCATGATGTCATCGATGATCATAAATTTATGACAGTGACCTTTACACAGCTTTCTACAGTATTAGCTTAGAAAAGTTTATGTACATATATGTACATGCATGAAAGAGTGAGAAAATGACTGGAAGATCTGAATCCATATCCATAAAGATATTGATGAAGAAAAAGAGCAGAAAATTTATAGCGAAACAATGAGAGATTGAAGGAACGGTGGAACGAGAAACTTAGAGTTTTGCTTGCTTTGGAACTGCTCCAGATAGACTTCATAATCTCGATAAGCATGATTAGCTTGTAATGAACACAGTTTGCAGAATTCTTCCTTTCCTTTGCACTTAAAGAGACAGAAGTCTACTGCTTTACATGGAACTGTCTTACCATTTGCAACAAAAGTCCTGTCTTGTTTTCTACACAATTAATTCTTATCTGTGATGAAATTAAAATAATCATTTTAAATAACTAGAAAGGATCAAGAAGCTTCAACAAGTAGTATAAGTTGATAGAGTAGAAACGAACAATTAGTAAGAGGAAAGATTAATTGTGATGTATCTGTCATTTTTTACAGCAAATATATCTAGTCTTATTTCGAAAGCTAATATCATTTCTGCAATTAAAGTTCTTGTTAATGTAAAAAAACGAACGATTTAATTGAAAGAAGTCATTGATAAAAATTTGAAAAGCTAATATATACGGAATAGCTATATAGCATTTTTGGTTTATTAGATAGTTTAGTAATACAAAAGAGACTTTTTTGATAAATTTGTGGAGCATTGGGGACAAGTTTGTTTGCAGAATATGTATACACCTCGAAACTATTAAGCCAGAAATAAACATCGATAGTGTAAGTCTAGCAATTAATAAAGATCACACAGCAGACTTGTCCTTTCTAAATACTAATTTCACTTTATTTTAAATTGTAATTCTATTCCTAAATATAACTTTATGAAATTCCACATTGTAGTTTCAAGCCACCACTTAGAATCAAAAAATAGTACGTACTGAAATTATTAACAAATAATGATAAGAAGCAACGACATACTTTAACCAAATGCAGACGGAAAAATTTTTGTTAATCTTAAGCTATAAGTTTGGAAATCGAATCCACCCGACGGCGTTAATAAACAGCTGTCTCATTATTTGACTATGAATCGCTTAAAATTTTTGAATGTGTAAGAATTTTAAAGTGAAATGAACAAATCTCCTATTGGAAATAAACATTAAGATGGGCACATAATAAAATAGAAACAGATGTTGTAACCTGAAATAGCAGCATAGACTAATTTCTCAGCAAAACTCTTTCTCGTTCTTTGAAAAGTCCATGAAATTCATTAGGCATATAACTTAACAAACATATACTTTCACTAAGCTATTACTTATTATTCGTGTATAAAAGTGGACAATGCTATTATGCTATGACCATTGCTAACAAATAGTTATGAGAGTTAGTATGGTAACAAGTGAATTAATTAAAATGCAGCAACATTAAGCTGTTGTCAATTGCAAATATGAGTGTAATACGTAACAGTAACACAGCATATCAACGACTATTTCAGTAATAAAAATAGGAAGAAATGATTCGAATTGGGTAATTGGGTAAGATTAATGAAATATCAGAAATAATTTATCATTGTTGAAATTTAAACTGTCCCATTTCTGCAGAGATCAAAATTATTGGTCTCCCTTTCTCTCCCCCTTCCTTTTCTTAACGATAATAAAAGTTATACTATCATATCCTACTGTGTGTTTCAATTATCCTATCATATTTAACATTTTCCTTCATAATTAATTAGGTCTTTCTTCTTCGTATGCCTAAGTTCTTTCCATTCCATTACAAAACTTAAGAATTTAAAACACCTTTGTTATAAAATTAGTTTTCTCAAGCGAGTAAAGTCAAGTTTTACTCCTAATGTTAGCTTTTTTTTTTTTTTTTGTTTAAACATTTTCTACCGATATGAAATTTTAACTTGCAGTTAATTACTTTGCAATAAGACCTTTTTAATAATTCCATTAATTAGTTTAGTTCAATGGACAAACATTTTAGTTTTGCCTACCAAAAGAGACTTATAATGATTTCTATTATTTCTACCTGTCACACAATCTATGAATCGATAAGTAAAACTGATAAGAAAAGCAAATTCTCTTGATGTTTAAGAGAAAACAATCCATTTTACAATGATCTTTTCCGTTCCCTATGTTATTAGGACATTTTTCACCGCCATATCTTTGTACTGCATCACTTCCTCAGTTTATTACTATCTGTTAAAAATAGTCAAGGACAGTAAGGGACAATAGAAAAAGATTTTAGTACAAATTAAATAATATTTTACAAATTAGAAGAGTAAAGAAAAATAAATGTGAAGTTGTTGCATGGTGACAGGTAGTATAGAGAATGGTCATTATAGCAGTGATGACCTTTAACTTCCTCAACAAAAGCACTAGATAGCCTAAGTTAATGGGAGACTAGAAATTGTCCAGCAACAAAAACCTTTCGAGCTTATCACTCCAAACATATTTGGAGAGAATCTGTTATAGCAAATAACAAAATACAATACTGACCTTCCACTAATAAATTGAAAACCTGACTGCTTATGCTCATAAAATTGCTCATCGATAAAAGCCAAGTTCGAAAAAAGATCAAGAATTGTTGCTCATATGCGGTCAGCACTCTCGACTAATCATTTTCACACTTAATTATTGATACAAATATTGCGGAATGCGCAATCCGGAAGCGCCACGACCTAGCTATGTTAGATTTTAACTCGCATCATTCTGATATCGAATAGGAAATGAAGAAATTTATCCTTCTCACATCAATCAGTTATTTTCATCTCTTCCATTTTTTCGAACTCTTTGATTTTCAAATTTCGAACAAATTTTGAATATTTTCCAACGAATATTCAAACATTGCATAATGCATAATTAAACCCATGAATTTTTTTAATTGCTCACCTTTCATCGAATGACCCCTGACTGTCACCTAACACTCTTTCTTCCTTCCTAACTCTCTTCTCCCTCTACTATTTCAACATAATTCTTTATTCAAGAAAAAAGCTGCACTTACTGCACATTTTTAAATCAATAATGAATGGTACGTGAAAATTTTTGTCTTAAGTTACCATAGAGTGTAGTTCAGAAATTAAAATAAAATAAATTTAAATTCAAGCCATCATGACAAATTCATGACTGTAAGGTCGAAAAGGAAGCAATAAGTTAGAATCATTTTCATACCAATAAATAATATTTCGCTTATTACTGAATAAAATAATCCAAGGAATAGAAGCTGGCTTTTTACGGATATGAAAAATGAAGCAGAAACTGCTATTACAAAAGGGAAAAGAGTAGATGCTGTTGAAAGATCGTTTGAAAATATTTGTGAAAACTAAATGATAGGAATGCAAGTTTACTTCATTTTAATAAGCATCAATGATTAGTTATGGTAATAAAAGTCTTGTTGTTGGAAGAATGGAAATAAGCTTGCTCATCTTTTCTTATTCTATCTCCAAGTGTCAAAGATAAAATACGATCATATTTGAGAACAAGACGCCACACATACACACACACACATAACTAACCCTTTGTTTCCAAATGGCAACCGGAGATGGTGCTTCATCAAATAGTTCAATCCGCTTTGCTTCACCCAAGAATTTCAATCTGTCGTCAGTACTCTCTTTTGTCTTTTGTTTTGTTCCACTCTCTTTTGTCAAATCGATACTTTCCATCGAGAAACATGTACGGCTACCGATACTTGCATCATTATTAATCTAAATTTCAAATTTTAACTAAAAAATGGAGAACAAAAACGAATAATGAAACAAAAATCAATATCAATCATATGGACCAAATATTATTTGCAGAAGAAATTTGTCTTAAAAAGAAGAAACAACTGATAAGAATACAATAGTGTGATAGTAAAAAATTTTCGAGTTACTGAATACAAGTTCAATCTAAATTCTCTTTGATTATTCGGGTGTTGCAATTGTGACAAGTTAGTCTTACCTGTCATCTCAACCCTAGTGCTACCTTATCCTAAGATAACTCATTAATTGTCATTTGTCACAACAGGGGATTTTTAAAATGAAAGAGCCTATGGCAACACATAAAACCAAAAAAACCTACTTTCACATTAGCGTCATAAATACTGCTTCTCCACTGCACATCGTTTAAAATTGTATAATCAAGCAGTTTTCCCTGAGCCGAATTAGACATTCGTAGGAAGCGTTGATATGGTTTTACATCCAGAGCTAAAGCTAAATTAGTTCTGGATACCGGTAAGACACCATTTGATTCGACTTCATCATTTCTCCACTTTGGTTGTAAGTTACATTCAGGAAGATGATTTTTGTCATTTGTGATTACTGGTGAATTTTCCATGCCAGATAACGAAACTTCGATATCAGAAACAATGCTGATCGTTGGAATACCCTTCTGATACCATTTTAGATATTTTTTGAAAGACTGATATTTTTTACGTGACAAGAAACGCCATAAAGGTGACGATTCATAAACACTTCCACTTTTAAGACTGGCATGACTTTGCAAATTTTCGTTATTATTGCTGCTGAATTTTGATGATAAAAAATGGAGCTTCTCTGATCTTTCCGGATTTTCCGGTGCGCTGATAACAACTGCATGTGCTGACTGCTTGCGACGACTCGATGGTTGCGCTGTTAGTGCTATATGTGCTGTACAGGAAGCTTCAGGAATGTCCGCTGACTGACGCCAGATATCCTGAAAAGTGGTTGTACTCACGACGTTATGGTCATAGAGTTCATTGCATCCTAATGTGGTGATAGCCTGAAAGAATAGCTTTCACTTTAGACATAAAAATGACGTAACCTCAAATTATTGTGATATTTTCATCACCCAGTTTCTGTCTTAAATTTATTTTCCATCCCATTTCATCCTTTAAAATTTAACATACACTTGGTAGGAGACGCTATTAAACGAGTGAAAAAGGAGGTACGAACAGGAAGGGCGACATATTGTTCATATGTTTGGTTATACGCAATTAAGATACAGTAAAGTAAATAAATGAATCAGGTAACTGCCTAAAATTCTCATCATTCTAAAACTTCATATAAATCTGTGGACAAGGAAATTTTCCCTTTATAAGTGCCTATGTTTTAGACCAAAAATCATAGCTTTCGAAATCGTCTATTTTCAACTTTATGTCATTTTCTAATCCAGTTATGTTTTCTGCTCTTTCCACTTTTACATACTAAAAGGATCATGAAGATTTTTGAAGCAAAGTGAGAAATAACAGGCAAATTAAATCTTACAATGTGAAGCAAAATAGGATAATAAGATTGATTGATAAACTGAAATTTCAGCCTGAACATTCATCTCTGAGCCGACCTTTTAGAGCTAAATCGTGGTGAGATACAATTCGAACTATAAGAATTTTTTCACTTTACTTCTATTTGAAAACCTTATGAAAAAAAATTTGCTCCATAAATCACTGATAAAACTAGGAAGACGATACTTTTTTCCAGGAATTTGTCTTCCGAAATTTTATAAAACGACTAGGTTTCAACTCGACTTTCTGCGTGCGATGACAAGTTTGTGGTTTGTTATTATGAGACTGCGCTGATAATGTTGAATCGATTATACTCATTTCGAATGAAATATCTGAGTTATTCTCTGATGGACACTGAATATTTGGCTGAAATTGCAATTTCAAATACATGAAAGTGAGTAAAATTTAATAAAAAAAAAAAAAAAGAACTCATTCCTCTTCTTTTTCATAAAAGGGTTTCTTTCAATAATAACAAAGTGATAACTTTAATTATCAATTATAATTTGTATGAAAATAATTTTAGCAACTTTTCAAATTATTTTTAGAGAATGCAATAATCATGAAATAGTTGAAATATTTACTTTTAAAGTACCGCATTCTGGTTCGCCAGCACATATGATATCAACATCAGTAGTACCAGTAGTAATAATATCAGTAGTGATAGAAGTGGCAGTGCTGATAAAAGGTGATGAGAGCGGAATTGATTGTGCGGTTAAATCAAAACTACTGGATGGTAATGAGTCTATTTCGGCAAGAATTTGTGATGTCCACCTGAGAAAAATAAACTTATATTAACCATAAGCATTCAAATTAATAAATGTTTTGAAGAAAGTAATGAAAACAGAATTGAAATAGAATTTAAATTGGTTCCTTTACTTTCGAAACTGAAAAAGAAAAATAGGATGGATTAAAGCAAAAATTAACTCTTTCAGATTTCTCCAAAATCAGTTTCTGTAGCAAAGAACGAAAAATTTTTTGCGAAATTTATTATGCCATAGCAGGTTGCTGTGATATAATAAAATCTTTTTAGAAATTATCTGCTGATTACTGCTATCAAAATAAAATATGTCAGAATGAATAATTGTGACTAATTTTGAATGAAGGGAACGGAGGAGAGAATGTGGAAAACCAGAAATACTTCATGTCTAAATTCGTGCTGAGATAAATTATAAATATCCAATTGTGAAATTCTCCGCCACATTTTCAATGGAGCGCAAAAGAGGTAAAATAGGAAGAATCAACAAGTTAGAATTAGTGAATTATTTCAAAACTTCTTCTCTATTCATTGAACAGTGAACAAATGCTATGTATTAATTTGTTTGCTAAGATATTATAAGTTACTTAAAGCTAACAAAAACAAAATTAGTCAAAATTCAACAACGATTACATGGCCGCTTAGAACTTATGTTAATGTTAGTATAACCGCATTTTATTAAGATGAAAGCCATCATAAAGTCGTAAAAATTGAGAATGAAGAAGTGAGAGCTAAAATTTGCACGTGAATTATAAGAAAATAACCTGGTAACAGAATCTTGATTAGTAAAATCGATCATCGTTCCGTTCAACTCCCGGACAGATATCGAACGTCGAACAAACGTAGCTTTTCCCGACTGTGTATTATTCAATCTGGATAAGATCAATTAGAAGAATAACTAGAATCTAAATTAAGAGGATCTAAAATTACTGCATGCTAATTTTCAATTTGTAGTACTGCTGCACGTACCTTGTTTGTGATCCTCCTTTCGTTTCCAGTTCATTATTGGTGAATGAATTCAATTTATATCTAAGTGTACGACGACGAGCTTTTCGAGCTGCTGGTCCTTGGATTTCATATTAATTATTACAATTAATATATTATCTACCTCTTTCTATTATGTCGTCTTGAATCTTATTTAGTAACCATTAGGTAATGAATATTTCTATTAATATAAATTCATAGGCTCACAAGAGGAAAAGTGGTAATATTTCTAAGCCTCAAAAGATACATAACGCTCTGATATCATATCATCGATTGACAACAAATATTTAATAGTATGTATCATCAAAATAATTCTCCTAGAAGAAAGGTAGAAGAAACATTCGCAGCAGTAAGGAACCTTTAAATTTCTGTATAGTGTCAACAGGTTCGTTAGATGCCAATAGCTGTGTCGAAGTTGATTTGCAGCAAGTTTCTGCTATCGACCGAGTAATCAAACTGGAATTAACATAATTTCGCTTCAATGAAAGAAACGCTGCTTCCGCTGGCGTTATTGCACTGCATGCAGCTGTCGATTGACCTCTCTTCCTCCTTGTCGTCAACTGAGTCTGTAAAATTGCTCCAGTTCTACAAATTCTTAGAAATTTCGCACATTTCTGCTGCAAACTCAATGCTAGTAATAACCATATAATATAATTCACTATTTCATCAACGATTACTTCATAAAGTCTGTAGTCTGTCAAGGAATGTTATGCCATCCATTACTAGTGTGAACGTAAGGCTAAGCAAAAAATCGCATCAGTGTATGAACAAACTTTGCGCATTGAAAAAAGGAAAATACGTCGACATTTATTGAACATTCAGAATAGTGGGAGAATGAAATTAGGCCTTATTTCGTGAATTGTCACCGCTGCAAGTATTGTGCCTTTCTGACTATTTCACTTCCGATTACTCATCTTAGTGTCACAATACAATACTCACCGATCGCTTTCTTCGTTCGATGATGATGCTGCCGTTATCACTGCTATTTGTTGTAGATTCTGACCTGTGCACTTTATTTAAAGCTGAGGTTGATTTCGATGTACGCTCTCCAGAAATTCTACCAGTTAAATTACGTCGCTGATGAAGTGTAAAACGCTTACGACGTGATGACATGTAATATTCTGCATTTGCTGCAATGTTTATTTTTCATCGAAAATTCCAGGTTTTTTCCCTTTTTTCTTATGAAATCTTTTCTGGAATTTTCTCTTCCAATTTTTCAGGACACTTGCTTACCTTTTACTCTGAAATCAATTAAAGTTTTCTTTTAGGATCTTTTTGTTAGAAATTCTAAAAGATTTTAAACTTCAATTCAGCTTTAAATTTGAATTCGAGTCGTTAATATATTAAACATTACAAGGGTATTACACCAATTTACAAATAAATAAGCACTGTAACCCCTTCTCAACTCACGAAATAGCTAACAACTTGCAACACTTCATGTTCTTTATATTCCATTATCTTATGAAAACTCGAAAAGTTTTTCCTTACAAATTGAATTTATTTCAAAAGTATTAACTTTCGAAAATACTGACTTACCCGATTGGTCATCATCTGATGAGAATGACTGTGGAAATTTTCTTATGTCATGTTGAGATACAAATGCAGAAGGAAAAGAATTCTTTCGGTAAGTAGAAGATGAATGAATATCTGATGATGACTGACGCTGTCTACAAACACATACGTCATACACGTGAAAAGAATTGACTGCACACACGGACATAAGAAAATATCATCAACTTTTCAACTGGATTTTTTAATGGAGCTAGAAATATTTCTCGTTATCACGCTTCAATTCTGCTTTTGGAAGGGAATTTCATTTTTTTTTTTTGTTGGAGAAATTTAGAAGTTCCCATAATTCAATTACGTGCTGCAAATGGCGGAAGTATCTTCGAAATTAGATCTATTGGTTCTTTTATTACATATTTACAATTTCTAGTCATTATTTCACAGTATTTCACAGTATGTATTTCGTATCAGACGTTGGTTTGAAGTAGTAGAAGTAACTGTAAACAAAATATAGAACTGATTACTCATATTTGAAAAACAAAGTGTAGAACTGATTACTCATAGCTAATATTTGATTAATAAAGCGCAGTACATTTCCGCCTGACCTCAGTTAGCATTAACGTGATTTTTTGTGATTAACAAATATTCTGGTTTTGTAACCTTAATATGAAATGAGTTTCTCTCCTCCTTCCTCTTGTCCCGCTTGCTCGTTCACCCGTACATTCCCAACCAAACGAGAATCAATTTGGGTCTCTTCAATGAGTACCACAATAATCACTGTGGAAGAATGAGAGACAGCTTATAGAAAGTAAGAAATTGATTGCATATTCAAGTACACAATATAAAGTTTTCTATGAGTTTTAATTATTTTTAGATTCAAATAGAATATCCAAATTGGGAGCAATATGCTTAGAAAAGCTTTCAAATTTTCCAGACATTGGATAATTTTTTTAGAAAAATAGAACTGTTTCCTTGGGAAAATCAATCACTTAAAATTTTAACTTGTTCTAAATAACATAAATAACATAAATTAACAAAAATTCGATTAATTTCACATGCATCAAGAATTCGAAAGCCTTTAATATGAAAAATCTTTGGCGTAAGAGTTTTACAAATCCTAATCAAATTTCTTGAAGTCTGAAAGTATTTTTTAAGTCAGCAACGAGGCAAATAGATGATAGATAGGAAGTAATACACGAAATGGAGGAGAAGAGCGTAAATTAAATAAAATCTCTTAAAAGCATAAAGAAAAATGACTGACAAATGGCAACCAAGTTACTTCTTGACTTAATCTATTTTCTTGTTGGTACCGTAGTATTTGCTAAGCAGACAAGACTACCTTCTATGATTCCAACGTCTGCTTCAGAAGCAATCCCGAATTTACTCCTGCAGCATTTTGTGCGACACGAATTCTTTTAAAAAGCTTTTCTATAGTTGAAACTATTTAAACATATTTGTTCCAATGAATCTGATTTTAAAAAAAGAAAACCAAACCGTCTCAGAAATTTATTCTGTCCGTCGTCACTTTTAATGGTTACTGAAGCAAGTTCGTGAAGACTTCGTGATATGGCATCCTGAAAATAAATTGATTTTTAATTTGAATTGCTACAGCTTAAGAACGAAAGAAATGATGTCACCAGATGACGAAAAGGAAAGAATAAATCGTTATCAGTTTATTTCAAAGATTCTATTGTTTAAAAATAAGAAACTGGACTTTTTTTTTTTAAATTAAATTAAGTGAGAATGTCAATCTTGAAATTTCTAAATAGATATTGGATGAACAAAACTAAAATTTAATTTAAATTGATTAATCACTCTTTCAGAAAAATGTTTTTCTTGATGTCTCATAACTTCAATGTGAAATTTGTGAATATGTAAAAGCGAACAAAGCCTATAACATGAATATTGTAGAAAATGAAAAAGGTTCAAAGGATTACTTCAACTAATTCTGTATGACCTTTTTCTCAGGCAAATAGAAATGTCAACGTTACACCGTGAAATATGCAAATAAGAGTGAAGAATGTTCAGTAAGAGATGGCAATTTCCTTTTTCACTAGCAACAGTTGAGAGAATATTTTGTTAGATGTTAATAAGAAGGAGAAGGAAAGAAATAGAAGAGAAGAGAAGAGAAATATAAGGATATTTTAGACAGTGAACAACAAAAAGCTTATTTGCATGTAAAAGACATGCAGTTCATTTATTTGACATGCAGCTACTGCAACTGCTTTCGATAACATGCAGATTTAGACAGACGACTGCACGACCAAGAATTACTTGTCAGTTGGAATTGAAATGGAAGAGAGTGGCGCAAATAATACTAAGAGAGTCTTGCGAAGTCATATGCCAATGCTTAGGCATTAAACAAACATATCATTAAGTTTGTGATCATAAGGCGGTACTGTGTGTATGGTTGACACTTTCATGAGAAACGGCATTTAACTAAGTGGAAATTATTATAAATGATATTATGTATTCATGATGATTTGTGGACTACGATGATGAAATCAGATCAGGTCAAGAGCGCTTCATGCGGAAAGAAAATCCTAAATTAAATTAACTTGTTTGGTTATATTAATTATTGCTTTTTGCAAATGAAGGAAAAACGATAGTAAATTTTTTAGCTGATGCCTTTAGCTGTTGATGACAAAATTTCCAATATCAACTTGAAAATTTAGAAAACAAATCATGAACTTAAGTTTCTCATTGGCTAGGAAAATTGTCTAATTAATATTGATGAGAATATAGTTTCCTCAGAGATTCAATTGCATTAAGAGAAATATTTTCAAATATATTTTCCAAGATAATGTCAAGGAGTTCGATTATCCCCGAATAAGTTATCCCTAACTAATGTCGAGATACCGCAGCGTGTGGTAATCAGTTTATGTAATGATTTGATCTTATGAGCAGAATGAACAGTGAAAAAAAGTGAGGTCAAACTCTATTTCAAATTTATTGCCATCTTTGAATAAATGAAAAAAGGAAATTAATAGTTGGCTTAATTATATTAGTTTTTGAAATGATTTATTACTGTAAAGTTAACAAACATTTCGTTTAAAAAAATTTCCTTGCAAACCGTTAGAAGCCAGAAAATGTATCAAAAACAGTTTTCAATTACAAAAACAATCAGCCAAATTTCTCAGACTGGTTAATTTAGACGGTTTTAAATTTTAAAGCATTTGAAATTAAGTGATAATATTCTTCTCTTACATAACCCATAATTTATAATTGTGATCAGTATGATTAATTAAAGGATCTTCAGATCCGTTGATCACCAATATGCTAAGAGGGTTTTCTGGAGCTCAACCATGACATTCAGGAAATTTAAAGAAGAGGATCCGATTCTGTAGCTAAGTTCAGATTAGATTGTGCCATTTCATAGTCAAATCGTTATGTGACCGTATCACTCAGCAGATAGATCTACTAACCCTTTATTATTTGATTATGTGAGACCTCTCGTCGGCTCCGGAACTTGTAGGAAACGAAATGGTAAATTCATCACAATGATATGGATGGAAATTGATTAAATAATTATGCAAATATGATTGCTTCTGCACTTGACTACAAAACCTATACACATATATACACGTATACACATGCACACGTACACGTATACAGATTCACAGACGTAAACACGTACAGAGAATTTAGAGTGGATCAGCGCTGAGAGCGACGCTGGCAGAGTTTGTTCATTTCTGTGCATTGTCACTCATTTTACACCTCCGTCTCTCCCTCTCCTCCTCCTCTCCCTTTCTCTCCCTTTTTCTCTTCCTTTTGTATTCGTCAATGCACAATAACAGCTAATCGTTTCCTCTAATTTTTCAAATTTCGGTGGAAAATGGACAGTTTCAAGCGATACAATATGCATTGCAGATTCATTCATATCACAATAGAATGAATAATAGGAGGAAGTGGATGAGAGAGAGAGGGGGAGAGAGAGAGAGGATTTGTTTACTTTATATTGAACGTGAACGGATGAGAGTGCACGGGTACCACTTACCTGTGCTTTCTGCAGGTAGCAATCAGCCTCCCAGAATGGACTGCCTCTTTCTTCATATTTCATAGCCATACAATTGGTTTGTTAATACTTTGCCTGCAAATTCTGTGAATGAAAAGAATTTGAAAACTTAAATATGAAATTACAAGTTGATGATTTAGTTGAAGTTAGGTAGTTAAAACTTTTAGATTGGTCATAGACATTTTTTGTTAAGGAATGTAACTTAAGTCCAATATATTTTTGGTAAAATCGAAAAAACAATGCTTTAAACGAAGAGCAAAAGCTTATTTGTGCTCTTTTTAAAGTTACATTCAAAACTATTGCAAACTTATCCGAGGATAGTTCCCACTGGAATCAAGTATGGATTCAAACATGTGATATTAATTACAATTGACATTTTCATTTAATAATCCCAATGAAGTTATAATCAATAAAAAGGGCAATTGACACTGAATTCGTAGAAGAGTGAACTGCTTAGTTTGGTTGTTTAGTAAAGAATAGTACACATTTCACAAAAAAATTTCTCTCTTAATTTACCTTTCTTTCATCCTTTAATCTAATTACTCGTTAGATTCGATAATGAATAAACAAATTATTAAGGAAAAGTTACCTGACTTATTTTAATGAATAATCTTTTCTTGACAGTGATCACTTATTCTTTTCTATTGCTTCTATCAAATTCTTATCATTTCGAATACACTGCAAATATGGCGGCATGATGATTGAATACATCAACAGAACAAATTGAAACTTTGTGATGCTCAATTGCATAAAAGAAATATTGGAAACTATAAAACTATAGTAGTAGACAATAAATTTCCTTATCAATAGTTTAATATTACTACTGAATGACAAATTAAATTAATATTATTATTATTAAAAGGGAATTAATGCTACTATTAAAATGACATTAAAATGAAAAGTTATTTGTTTAAATCACCGGTAAAGTTACAATTTTCTTTAGATTCCTTGTAATGCATTGTTAGTTGTTCATTGTTGTTTAGGGGTTTTACAAAATGATTGCAGATTTAATCTATTATATTCATTTTTTCAATTGAATGACACATTCCATTTTGAAATTTAAAGAATTTAATAAATGCAAATAAACAGATTTTGAAAACTTTCTTTGTAAATGTTTTGAAGATATGAAATAATGAAAATTTGTATTCAACAGGCGAATTCAAAAAATGAAAATTTTATTGTTTGCAAATTTTTTCTTTCGCTAAGATTACTGATAGTTGAGAAATTTCAGGAAAAAGATTAGTCAATCGAAGTTTCTGCTCGGCCTTTCTTATTCACAAATGCTCTAATCACTCATTTCATAACTTTTATTACTTTTTTCAATCATTATAAGATTTTTTTTTCAAAAAAAATCTTTAATAATCTGTTAGTAAATTCTTTTACAGTACTGTGTTTCACTTACAGCGTATGTTGAAGTTTTTTATTGATTTTTCTTTGAGTAATTTGATTACCAGTCTCTTTTCTTTTTGTTATCACTATCCTCTCCTTAAAAATGACACGAAATTTGATTTTATTCAAACATAAAAGGCAAAGATCAAATAAAAAGGCAGAGAAGTTAGCAATTTAATTTAAATATAAAACATACTGTAATAAGCAACATTCAATTTGTCATAGAATTTAATTATTTGGATTTAATATTTTTGTGAATCGTATATTTCTTCTTTACACTATTTTTACATTTTCCTTTTTAAGCATTTTTTTGAAAGAAAAGTATAAACCAATAAGAAAATAATCTGAACAGAAATTGATATTTTAATAAAATGAGAATGTCGTAGAGACATATCGCAGTTAATGCAACGCTACTAGTGTTATTGACCACAAAAAAATTATGTAACAGTGTGGTTGAATGGAAAAGAGTCGATATAATTCTGGTGTCACATTTCAATATGCTATTGAATCGGATTCATTATAATTCTATCAGTATTAGCAACCGGATTTGACATTTAATATTATTCCGTAATAAACTTTCACAATATATATGCACGACATTTAGATAATGACATTGGAAAAGGGTTCAATTCCTCTTCTAACTATCAATCATCCGATAGTTATGATCGAAATGTTCGGTTCCCAAAGCTGTTTGTAAGTTTGAAATAGCATAATATGTTAATGGTAGTAGACTGTTACGTGTTTCCATCAGACATACCAAGTGCAGAAGTACAATCACAATCCGCGTTGATTTACGATAGAACCATTTGGTAGTAGGGATAGAGCTGGTGTTTTTGTAGCACATTAAATAGTAAATCGTTGTTTATGATTTCATACAATTTCATATAAAAACCATCAAACAGAAATGATATCTTGAATACCCCGGAAAATTCGTGAGGTGATAAATACCATGCGGAAACATAGTTAGCTAATACTGTCTAGAATCATAATTAGCTTTCAGTGTCATAATGAGATTTAGCAGCCTTAAAAAGATAAGGGTCAATAAATTTTTCTCCCTTAAGATAATCAATAAATTCTATGCTAATCGACTGGACAACTACTAATGATGGATAAACACAATTTTAATTTTTAAAAATTAGAGCAATTCAGAACAGAAAAGTAAAGAAATGAATGAAATCAAAATCAATAAAACTCTAAATGATAGCAATTTTTTTTATAGCATACCATGCATTCATTGTGTATAATACAGAAACAATAAAATGGCTTTTCTGTATTAAAATAACCTTTTCAAAAACTTTGAAATTCTTCAAAAATTTGTGCTTTCGCCAGCATTCTCAGATATTTTAAAGTTCAGCAGACAATGAACATGCAATGTATGTGCAATAGTAGTAGAAGTGCGGGAAAATATGGTATTCAACGTTGAAAATAGAAAGAAATTAATAGAAGCAGATGCGTCGAGACTGAAAACTGCTCTGTAGAAATGTATGACAGATCAATGAGCCCTTTTCCATTTTTTTCTGTTGCTCTTCTCCCATTAACACTAGTATTCATCGTTTTTATTACTTTCATTTTCTCAAATATGGTTTGTTGGTATGAAATGTTCTATAGGTCAACTAATCATCTGATATGCTACCTTCTTATCTTTTCTTCTTTCCTATCAAGAGAAGTATGGATAATCACGTGATAGACATTGGACATGTATGATCAACTGATTGTGATCACACTTCTACTCAAAGATACTGATTGGATTGAGTTGTAAGTGGCTTATGTTAGTATTGAAATATTAGTTTTTATTGTTATCAAAGTTAATACTGATCACAATTTCTTTTTAACTTTCTAACAGTCACCTTCTAACTATTCAGAGGAAGAAATAATCGAAGAAGAATGTTCGATAGAAAGCATTCCGAGTTAGCTACTGCAAAGTATTAAAGACTTAATAAATCAATCTGATAAAAAGAGAGAAATTTGCTTGGGATTTTGCACCACCCTCCGATATTCTTTTTTGCGCCTGAAGGATATATTTATCTGAGGTCCTGAAAAAAAAAAAAAAACATTGTTAATGATAAAAGATTAGTTATGATAGTTGCACTATTTGCCTTTAAAGTGTGCTTTACAAAATTGGAAACAATGAATGTGAATTTGTGTGCTTGTCAAATGGTTTCAATGCATTAGGTTTATTTATGTGTATGTATATGCAAACGATTATAGCTTTCGTTTCCCTTTGCAGTGCTTCTATTTTATTGTCAGTTAAAATAATTGAAATTTTTCTTTGAAAAAATTCTTTCTAAACTTCTCAAAAAAGTCAGATTTTTCGAGAACAAAACATTACGTAGCAAAAATTGCTGGACCCAATAACTTTTGTTAGCTTTTCGATATTTCACTGTACACAATCTAGCCACCTTCCCTCCGATCTTCTTGTATTCCAATGACCTTGAAATCTGCAGAAGAATTTGGACATGAAGAGATGTATACAAAAGGTTAGAGGATGACAACAAACTCCCATCAGTACTTTTTACATTATTCAAAGTTTCTTTCTTTGATAGGAAACAAATTCGTTCAAGTTTTTGAGTCTTTCAGAATTTGCTATTTATAAACACACAAACAATTTCATTTATTCTGATAATAGCCAATAATTATTCATCCCGTTAGAAATTATAATCAAAAGAATGGATGTAACTTCAGAAAGCAAAACTAATTTTCAATAAAACTAATTCGCTCAACTTCAAAAGTTGAAGTCCCGTGTGAAATAGATAAAGTTAGCTAATTTTACTTCTTGTCACCAAAAAAATACTATTAAGTGGAGAACTGGCCATTTCTGCAGTGCTATTTGGAAAGGACAACAATCGGGAATTTGATGACATCATCGAATGATTACAATTATACTGACATTACTTGAAAAATTGTTCAAATATAAAAGCAACTCATAAAATCTCTCTCTTATAACGATTGAAAGAATTTGAAGAAATTTCAGCAGTATACTAACGGATCATTGCTTTTGTCAAGTGGTTTTTTACTAAATAAATAACTGAATTAACTAACCATTTAACCAAAACTATTTAAGACTGCTTGTATTGAATAACTAATCAAATGCAAATAAATAAGTAATACTCTAGAAAGTTTGTTAACACGTCTGTTTTTGAGATGTATGAACTTTAATAACCAAGCTGATCAAATACAAATAACAGTAAAATGATAGTTTATGGATTTAAATTTTCATAAATGAATGAATGGAAAGAATGGAAAAATGACTGATAAAAGATTTAAAAATTAAAGGAAAGCAGACAATCAAATGAGCAGCCAATAAAATATCATCAATCTTATGGCTATTGGTTACGTGTCATCTCAACAAATGTATGAAATTTTCAAGGACAAAGCGAACTGTTTCAAATTATCTGCATGATTCTCATCAATTTTATCCGAATCGATCAAATCAATTAACCACTAGAAGGACAAGGAAAAAGATAGGAATATTTAGAGGGATAAATTCAGGAAGAATGGAAAGGAAAGAGATGGTAAATTTTCACTCAAAGTCTCATAATTTAGAATTGTGAATAACGAGATTTTGGATCCAAGCGTAAAGTTTTTGTCAAAGTGCAAAATTAGATGCATGGGCAAAGATTGAAATTCAAATGGTTGTTTCTTCTTTTATCGAAAAGTAAAAA